TGAAGATAAGGGTCGTGCAGATCCTGCTGCTGCCAGTGCCAAGAATGAAAGCAAGAAGAAGTGGCATGGTTCCTGGCACTCCTGGTCCACTTGGGATGCTGACAAATGGGTTCCGAGAAGCGAACATGAGGAGCTGCAAAACCGCCTCAAAACAGCGGAAGGGACCATTGCTGGTTTGCAGTGGCGTATGAGCTGCTGGGAAAGCTGGCACTACTACCAAGGGCAACCCAGCTACGGCTATGTGTACCAGAGTGCAGAGGCTCGCCCTGCACGTGAGCCCCGTGCAGAGCCTTGCCCGGGAAAAGATGAAAGAGATGAAAGAGACCGCACCCGAGACCCCAGCAGGACCTATGACCGACGTGACACCGTGTCACCTTCGGAAGAAAGCAACAGGACGCTCCTGCCAGAAGAGACACACACAAAGGAGTCTCATGCCAAAAAGCGCAAGAAGAAGAGGAAGGACCGCCAGCGATGGTCTGAGGATACGGGGCATGGGGATCAGCATGATCAGCGGCATTGGCAGAGGAAGAAGTGAGGCTCGCCCATCTCTTGGCACGAGGCTCGCCCGTGCACTAAAGAATCTTGACACTAGCAGAATGAGCGCTAGCGTGAAAATGGCTGGCAGCCTTAACTTTCCCAAGTTGACCGTTGAATTTCGTCGTTCTGTCTTCACAGCGCATGTGGGCAAGTTGTGGCAATCTGTGCTTGTGCATGACCGCAGCCATTTTAGCAGGTTCTTTTCCAGGAAGAAGCTGGAGGAAGGCTCGTCCTCTTCCGTGAAAAAATGGAGGAAGGCTCGTCCTCTTCCGTGGCAAGAAGGCTTGTCCTCTTGTTTCTGACATGAAGAGAAAAAGGCCCAATTTTGACACCTTTGTTCCTCCGACTGTGACTTTGAGCGTGGCGGCACGAACATCTGGGGGAGACAGAAACCAGCTCCGTAAAGGTATCATCAGGCCTTTGCTGGAGGATTCCGTGTACGGGCACATTCTCCAAAAGTGCCCTATCCAATTCACCAACGGCGAGGCATATGAATGGGAATACATAAACCCGTTTGCTCTCATTCACCAATACCTACACCCTCCTGCTATGTAAAATTTTATCCGTTTAGCTAAACAATAGAATTTTTTATCGATTATCCTTAAAAACGTCGATTGCCCAAAAAAACTCCGTTTCAGGGTTTTCCAGGGTATCCCAACCTCCAAGCCCAAACCATCCAATCCGGGAAGCCACACACAAATTGTTTCCTTGTCCTTAGCCTTGATTAAAGATTGTCAAATACCATGGGTTCGCTTAAAGCGGGTCCACAGCATTCCTGCCTTCAGCAGGTAACATTCTAAACATCTACGTGATACCTGGCGGCTGTCCAACCTCCGGCTCAGCCGGCCCATTCGTCCAATTAGATCTTCATTCTGCTCGCAGTTGAATAGAAGTAAACTAACAAACCTTTCACAGCCGGAGAGTAGCAAGAGCTTATATGAGTACAACATATGTTTGAACAGGTGGATCGAAGGCTTGATTCCAAAACCGCACACCCCAATGTTGAGATTTTGGCAGCCAAAAGAACATAGCCATTGATGAGCTGCGTTCCAAAAGTGTAAGTCTGCATTGCACACTTCCTGGGCACTGTGCATGGATGTGCATAAAGCAACTTGAAGAACTTCAGTGTTGCAGCCGTTGTTTGCAACAATAGGTCTATGAACTCCTGGTGATCATCGTCCAGCAAAGAACTTTTGAAATCAGCGGCCACTGCGTTCAACCACCCCACTAGCAGCATGGTGTCACTCCCCTTGCAATTCACCCATGGGTAGCTGTTGGCATTCTTGTAGTTAAAAAACAACTTGGTGAATTTTCTCAAAGCAGGGGTGTGCCCGGTCCGGCGGCACCAACCTTTGAAACTGCAATGGGCAGCCTGAAGACATGATGGGAAATTGCCGTCGCCAAAGTATCCCAGGTTGCTGAGACAGCAAATGGCTGAACCACAAAAGTCTGGGAGGAACCCAACCTTTAGAGTGTGGAAGACGTCGGTCTTGTACATGGCTTCCAGAGAGGGACCTAATTTGTGTTATTTGAAGGGTGCAGTGCAGGAAAAGATATTCCTTTTTCTTAGCATTGAAACATGTTCAGCTAAATAGAAATAACAAGTGATGTTTTCAATTGACAAGGGGCATCCAGGTATTCGTCGGAATGGCGATGGATTTTGCGGGTCGAACGGCGTGACAGTCAAAATTGTCCTTGCCCAAATGGGATCTTCAGAAAAATCTTCCCATTCAATTCCACGAGAGCCGCCCATGCAGAGGTGACAGCAAGGTATGTGCTGAACAAATCCTTGTCTTTCATAACTCCGTGCGAGACAACCAACAATCGTGAACCACTTGAGGTCGCCCTTGTGCCCTATGCAAGCCACATTGAAGGTGCGACCTGCTGCTCTCGGTGATGTGATGCCATCAAAAAAAAGGACCCGAAGTTGTTCACTTATCTCTTCAAGTAGTGCTGGAACCAAAGTTGGAAATGCTTCAGTCACCGGGCCAGGCAGCACAAAGAGTGGGAAATGCTGGAGGAAGGAATGCCCCTTTGTGTTTGTAGCTTGGCCATCCAACACAGTGTGGGTTCTGTCAGTCATCCCTGCCCTGCCCCTATCCGGACAATGGTATTTCCTCCGGATGTTTTCAGGAGGATTGCATTGACAGTCTTCATGTTTCCTTTTCTTCAAGTTCACAGCGGTCATGACTCCAAAAGGAGTCTCGAGCGAGACAACTGTTGTTTTGCTTCTCCTTTTGCCACGCCCTTCGTCACCATGAAGACAAAGAGGTAGTACATATTCTAAACTATCTGGATGCTCTCGAAACACCATGTGGTTGGGTTCAGTCAAACGAAATGCAAACCAAAAGGCTTTGATGTGGGAAGCCCTCTCTCCAGAATTCTGCAGCCCACCAACCAGGAGTTCGGGGTGTTTCTCCAGCATGTATCCAATAATGTCCTTTGGGGCAATGTAAGGGATATCCATTGTAAAATCCATGCCAGTATCGAACACATATTTTGAAATCGGAACCCGCCAGCCCATCTGACAGCGGTTGAACATTCTCCATGCTTCTCTTGATGCATTCTTCTTCCAAGAAGGCTGCCCACCCTTGCTGCTCTCAGGTTCAACTCGAAAACCGTTTTCTTCCCGGGCGGCTTGACGGAATCTTTCTGCGGTAATGGTGGGAACCTGGGCCAGATGGATGGCAATAAGGGCCCGAAAAAGGAAACATGGAAATAACAAACAGAATCATTGGCAGTGATGGTGATCGTTTTGAAATCTGAGATTTTAACCCCATCAGCTACTGCTTCTGCATATGCTCGGGTGTGAGGGCCTGCATGCCGGTTTTCATCAGAGTTTCCTGGCATGCGGCGCAGCATTTCCAAAATCAGAAAAAAATGTTTGTTTGGTATTGACCATGTGAGCGATCAGCAAAACCTCACTTAAAAAATGCGATTTAGGGTCAAAGTTATCGTTTTTGGGACTTCGCTATATCGTTTTACAGTATATCCTGATTGCATCATCCGCATCCCCTGGCAAACTGCATGTGGAAAGCCTCTTTACACCTCCACTTCAGCGTCTGCAGCATCTTTGACTGCCCTGCGCTTTCTTTTCCAGCGCTTCAACTGTATGGTGTGGTACGATACCTGCCAATGCAACTGCAAATCGCAGTTCCACCATCCTTTTTCCAGCTCAGAAACAAGCTTTGAAGTTAGTTTGTTGGAAGAAGCCCGGATGAGCTCTCACAGCGACATGCTCCATGCCTTTCATTCACTCGCCAGCGTCTGCGTAGCAAACCATCGACATGGTTCAACGCCTTTGCCTTGGCTATCTTCATCTAGGATAAAGATCGTCAAACCGGACCTGCAGGTGCAGCTGTGCCCGAGATGAACCGAGATTGACTAAAGCAATGGAGCGCCGCAAAAGAATCTGCATAGCGGCGAAAAGATCACAATAAGCAAGTGATAATATTCATCGGCAAGGAATCATCTCAAGAATCTTTTCGCATCTGGGCCATCCATCAGCGAAGGACATTTTGTCAAGAAATGCTTATCGTTTTGTTATCGTTTTCGTTATCGTTCAAAGAGGGGGAACATGTTTGGGAAAATGGCATGAACCAAGGAAAGTTGGAAAGGAGACCTGTTGTCATCGCCACTGCTTGCATGAAAGCGCGAAAATACAAAACGCTCATCCGGAAGGCTTGAACAATGGCGAGACAAAAAGAGCATCCAAATCCAGCTAGTTACCACATAACAATACGTGATTGGATACAAAACCGTTTGCGGTAATCAGAAATAAAGAAATTGGCCAGGATCAAGAGTGTCAGCATACTTTTGCACATCTTCCGTTGCGTGAGCTGGGCATGACGTATACCCCACAACTGAGAGCCTAGATGATCCAGATGCTTCTAGAACAGGTATCCACCATCATGTCATGTACACCACTCCTTCACTTCCCACAATGCTTTCACATATGGTATGATTCCCATGTTATCGTTTTTGGGACTTCACTAAATCGTTTTTCATATCAAGATGCATATTTTTACATGATAAATCGCTCGGATACATACCCCCTACATCGTCCTACACGGAGAGTTTAGCCTCTTTCTCACGTGCAACCTTCCGCTGGGACGTAAGATTTGCGTGCATATTTTCCTGGCTCTGCGATGACACTCTTGTGCAAACAGGGCTTCTTCCCCTACCCTGCCGTTCGAGCAGCTCCTGCTTTCAAGAAAGCAGTGCCAAAAGCTAATTTGGCCGTGGTGGGCTGTGAGTGCCCCAGCCTTTTAGAAACATGACCTTGTCGTCTTGGCATGTCTATAACCACCAGTGATACTTTTTATAAGGAAATATTTTGATAGGACAGTGAACTCCGCACCAAGGTCGACACTGGAACCCATCGAACATGTAAAAAGATTTGCTCTGGACTGTGCCTAGGAATCTACTTCTTTGGCCTAGCTGCAGCTTTCTTAGCGACAGCCTTACTCTTGGCCTTTGGACGCTTGGAGTGCCTGCTCGTCGCAGTTGCCTTTGGCATCTGCGGCCTGCACCGGTGGGGCAGTTGGGGGCCACTGATTCCGAGTTCTGAGTTTTGAATTGGGCTCTGAAGTTCTGACTTCTGAGGGACAAATTGACAAACCAAAGCCCAGCCCGGCCTGCAGCGGGATTGCAAATTCATCGCTTCCGTTGCCCTTGGCCAAGGGAAGAAACCACTTTAATTTTATGGCTACGAGTGGGCATGCTTTACCTTTCTTACTGATGTGCGCTTGACCCACTAGTTCAACAGGTCTATGCACCGTGTGTGTTTAAAACCTCCCTCATAGCAGGTGCCAAAGTCTGGGCACACATAGTAAGCCCCTAAATTTGCCGTGGCATCAGCGTACAGCACCTTCAGATTGCTTTCACACCTGGGCTTGCAGCGTGGTAGTCTTGTGTTTGTTTTCCTGGTGTTTCTTCCATGCACGGTTGCACGGTGGTAGGTTTCATTTTTTTTGGCAAAGTCACTCTTTGGTATACCCGTGGACAATCCCCGTGATATACTGCTCGTTGATCTTCACAGTAGCATCCACCAACGTTAGGTACACTGAGTTGATTTTGTCCAACAACCTTGGATGTGACCGACAGAAGGCTTGGACAAGGTTCAAAAGGGAATCTGTGGATCATTTGGGTCATCCTGAGGAGACATCGCATGCTGGGATGCAGCAAGAAGCTGCTTCTGCAAACTGGTCAGAGAATCTGCTGCATCTTCAAAGCGCTTCTTGACGGCATCAAGCTTGGTGGAGCGTTTCTCCAAACCATTCCTGGGAACCAAAGGAAGCTAAGATGTTTTGCTTCCGGGGAACACATCAAGGCTACGTGCATCATCGTAGATCAGGGTAGCAAGAGAGAAAACAAAGCAGGATCATCCATCTATCGGATCAAAAAGGAATTTTTTCTCGGAAATTGAATGCTTTGAACTTCAAGTGAGTCGCAACATCTTTTCTGCAAGAGAGCTGGGCAAGGCATCTGGGTCCAAGTATGGGAGACCAATTGACTGAGCGATATCATTGGCATGCTTAACCTCTGCTTCAGCCTGGGCTTCTTCCAGGCACTCGACGTCAGAGTCGTCACTGCCTTCTCCTGGGGGCTGACCATTGGCTGAATGAATTCACACGCGTTATGGGTTCAAAAGATGAACCAACCTATCACCACCCTTAAAACCCGGTTGGTTGACGATTCAACAAAAATCTTGATTGGTCCCCCTTGTCCTGCATCCGGCGATGCTGGGGCTTTCCTTTTGGGATTCTGTCGGGGCTGGGTAACGTGGGAATCCTCCAAAGCTGGTTTTCCAACAGAAGGAAGCTTGGCAGGGAGATCCCTAGGCATGACGAGGTCAGTAGGATCTCCACCCACTTGGTCCCACTGAACCCTCCGGTTGACAGCGACAGCGCTGCCCTGCCTCAGCTAATTTGGGAACCCTTAAACAATTATAAGGTCCTCGTCGTGTAAAAACAATTTCTCTTTGATGAATGAGTTTAATGGGGTCGGCTACGGAATTTGCAGGGTCTGGGGACAAGTCATTCCGATTTCCAAACGCCCAGGGGCAATGTGAGGTAAAACATAAAAAGATAAGATAAATTGTTATTCCAATAACCGTGCCAAATTGCTTGTTCGAACCTTTGATGCAGGTTTCTGCCCAATACAACGGGGTTCCCTCGTACCTGTCTTTGCGGATGAGGTGTTTCGGATCAGCCAAAGCTTCCTTGATCACCGCCGATATTCGATGCCTGGGCAAGCAGGCCGGACAGTATGTTGAAACATGTGGACTGGTGAGGTGAAAAATGTAAGGCCCGGGAGGATGACATTGTGGCCACCTTACCCGAACACGATACATACGATCAATTGGGGGCCCCAACCAATACAAAGCACTTTCAGGTGGTATAGGGGGAATGATTCTATTTTCCTCATTCTTGTAAAAGGGAATCCATAACCCACAATTCAATAGCCATGAACATATTTCCGCCAAAAAATAAAGCGTTTGGTGGTGCTCTAAAATACAAGGGAACAATCATTGGGTATGAACTGCGTGGGTCCATTCTGAATATTGTGATACCTTATAATTAACTACCATAAGGGCTAGTTGTATTCGTCATGCAGTAGCTTACCTATCTATGTGGCATCATCTTGGAGCCATTTTGGGGCCCAAGTTTTTCTTGTTTTGGAAAATAATAGAACCAAAGTTGCAAAGCATACCAAAATTTGACATGCTTTATAACAAGTCACTCAGGCCACCCCCATTCTTCTTCCATCTTCTGCCGTGAAGCGAACTCCCCTTCAACATCAATCTCGTTACTGACGAAATCTGATTTCAGAATTTCAAACTCCTGGACGAAGCTATCCTGCAGACTGCAGTAGAGCCACCTTTCAGAATAGAACTAAAGACAACAATGTCAAACAAAAAGAAAACAAGGAACGATTTAACACAAACCATTTTTCTAGATGCACAAGCTCAAGTGTTTAGGCATGGCAGACCTTGTCAAACCCAACCGACTGAAAGAGCTTCTCTAGGGACTTTCTCTCCTTCCCCTTCTTTTTCCACATACCGATGAGCTCATCTGGGACTTTGGAGGTTCCATAGGCCGTGGGTTTCATCATACGTCTCATGCGGGCGTCCAGGGCTTGTTGGGAGATACGTAACTGGCCCGGAATAGGATCCGGCACATCCTCCCGGCCACCCGACTCTGAATCCCCCGAACCTGGCGTCAAGTTCAATCGCCTGGCAGCTGTCTCAGTTGGGGTTGATGTGTCTGAATCGCCTCGCTTAGGGTACAGTTCTGTGGGAGCTGTAGAAACAGTAGAATCAGACCTCTCAAGTTTAACGCTTTGGGTGGGTCTTGGCGGCGTCACATATCGAGTTTCATTGGGGACTGAACCGCCGACACCCACTGGTGCCGCATAGGCAGGACAAGGAGGAGGAGACTTCTCTTCTGAGCCCAAGCTGTCTGCATCCGCTAAAGTAGAAGCGGCTGGCGACATCACATCCTTCCAAATCGGAGCAGGAAGTTGCATCTTCAGGTGAAAGACAAATGGTAAGTAGAAGATTTGAATCATGAATCAACAGCAACCAAAAACACACCTTCTTAAACGAACCATGTCAAATTTATTGTCCCGTAGTAGGCAGGTCTTGTGCAGGAGTCGTCCAAACAATGGGGTATGCCATAGCATGCTCTACATCTTGCAATTCCTCTCTGGTCGGTGTTAAAATATTACCCTTAAATCCCCATTATACCCCATGAAATACCACCATTGAAACCACCATTACATCCATGAAATCTTGCCAGTGAACACCGTTAAGATATCCCATGAAATATCATCATTGAACCGGAGCTATAACCAACTATTAGTTGTGCCCCATCATTTCACCATAAAACTCTGGGTAATGATCCCATTGTGAAACTGTCAAATCCCAATTCAAGTGGTTACCAGTAATGAATAATAAGTAATAAGTATAAGTGGTTCCCATAGGCTTTTCATTTAAAGGGCCACCCTTCTAAGGCAAAGAAAATCCATGACCACCATCCTAAATCTCCCCAAGAAACAAGCATGTGGGATACTTTCAAATGCGTGGGGGTGTTGGAGCTCAGAGCCGCTTAAGAAATCTGGAATCCGTGTCCTCAGGGTTCCTGTCCGGAAAATGCTCAAAAGGCGGATAGCCATGTTTGAGCGTGCGATCGAGGTTCTCAAGCTGGCTGCGGAGCACCTCAGCTCAACAGCCGATCACCAAACAAATGGGTTCATTGTTTTTCTACAACAAGGCTTGAGAGAAACAAGGAAGATCAAATAAGAACATCATTGTATATTCATAAAGAATTTTGCTTGTACGCTAAAAGCTTCATCTGATCCCATGTGCAAAAAATGCATAGCGATGCCGCTAAAGGCTTTGACGCCCCACCCACACCTACCAAAACAAGGGTTCTTACTGGCAACAATGTAACACCATTGGCTATAGTATGTGTTAAATTGATTTTGTATGACGAGCCCTTTTCCCAATCTTTTCGAGGCAGCAAATACGAAAAGATTGAAACCTTCAGGTAGCCAGTGGTGATTTTCTATCTCATGCAACAGGAGGTACCTCGTACTCAGCAAGCAAATCTCGGTCATCTTCTCATTTGGCCAGCAACATCTTGGGTTGACCATTTACGGATCGCATTCCCTGCACTAATGTGGCGGATGACCACAGCCGGCTAGTTTCTTCTGGCATTGACAGGCAGCTAACTAGCAAATGGCTAAGCTCCGGCACTGCCAAAGAGAAGGTGTCAGGGTTCATTGGCACGTTGGACAACTGATTGCATGACCATAAGGCAACTGGCAAATTTCCTACTGGGTGCTACCTTCAAACACGCTGCTCTTATCACAGTTGGAGTCCCAAACCACTTGAACTTTTAGCACTTTAAAAAAAAAACGTTTAATTTACGCCGTTTTGGTGGTGTTTTACGCCGTTTTGGCGCGGTTTTACGCCGTTTCGTTCCAAGCACTTTTTTGCACAGGGCCGCAAAGTTGTTTAGAGGTATGGCTTCCATGTTTCCGGAACCGAAAGAAATTTGCTCTTCTTAAGATAAAAGATCACCTCATCCAACCCGGCATCATCCCAGGAAGTGGGTTCCATGCGGCCAACAACGAGTTCCAAAGGTTCCTTGGCAAATCCAGTGTTGTGGGTCAAAGGCGCTATCACAGGGCCACCTATAGCCAACAAAAGAGGATTGCTTGGAAAATAAGTTTTCATATTATTTTCGCCTAAGAATCATCACTAGGGACTTCAACAGGAACCATCTGAGGAGGAGAAGCCTTCATCCCCGGGAGGAGTTCCACGATTGCCCTCGCAAAAGCAGCAGTGTATGTCCTGAGGGAGCCGGTGTTACACAATTCTTTGGGATCCTGAAATTCCCAAATGTTGGATCATTTTTTTTGACGACCAACCCACCACGGAGAATAAGGGTTAGAGATTGTTCCCCAGAACAGCATGTCCAATAATGTCCACCTGAACTGCAGAAGATACAAACACTTCTTGTACACGTTTGGGGGGTTAGCAAGCCACCACATTATGAAATCACCACCAATCTCAAATCCATCCCCAAATCTCCCAAACAATTTAGCTCAACCAAACCAACTGGGGCTTTACAAAGCATATCACATGGAAACTATTTGTCCTATTTACCCCAAGATGACCTAAACACCTTAGACTGCCAGCTGGCAGCAGCCAAGCACATCTCTACCATCAAACATCACAGCTGTGCCACATCGGGCAGCAACTGTAAGTGGTGCAGGCACAAACCTGCCACACGCTGAGAGGGAGGGAGGGTTACAAGCAATCCATTCTTAGACTGCCAGCTGGCAGCAGCCAAGCACATCCCTACCATCACACAACAAAGTAGGTAGCAGCTGTAAGTGCTGCAGGCACAGACTTGCCAACACAATCGCAGGGCTTGGGCATAGGAAACATTTTCTTGCATGTATGCACTCATGTATCGTAACGTATGGATCAGAGGTATGGAACAGAGGTATGGAACGGATCCTTCAAACAGGTATGGAACGGAGTTATGGAACGAGGGTATGGATCGGGTGTGGTCCCCGGCCCTTGTTCCAGACATTAAAATTTGACTTGCACCCATTTGGAAATCCTGAACCTAACAGCCCCTTACTTTGATTTGGGTGTACAGGACGCTTGTTCAAGACAACCAGAATTGAGCTTAGTGGCTGGGATGCTTTTAATCTCTTTGTCCCCTGGTAAGCTGGCTTACCATCCCGATTGATGTAGCGTTTGGTTGTGGGCCGCGCTGCCCGCCGCAAACGCTTCACCAGTTTCCCCAAGGTCAACTTAGCCACCCCAACATGATTTGATAAAATAAGGGTTCTCTTCATGGAATTTGCCTTGAACTTCCTCATCCAGAAAGTAGCGCGGTATACCTGCAGCGGCTGCTACAGAATAGCATTCCCAATGGCTAAAAACAAATTTTGGCGGTAATCATGTTGGTTTACCCACCGCTTGGGACATAGGAAAGATACATTCCCCAGATAACCCATGTTTGTAGGCTTATACCAAATCCCTCGCTCTTATTCCATGAGTCTTCCAATGTCTAGGTTCTAGTGGCATCCCGAAGCAAGGCACTTTCTGCCCGATCTTTTTGAGCATGGCCGCCAACTGTAATATACGTGGGTGGTGAACGATCATTGACGTAGCAGGGTTCTCCAAAATAAACCATGCATGCATGGCTGCAGCTAGGGCCAATAAAAGGCAAGTCCTGAACATTGTTGCATGTTACATTGTGTGGGCAGGACCCTTCATAGAGTGGGAGAAGCTTAAACAAAACACTATGTAGAGCACCATGTTTAAGGTCCCAGTCCTTGCTGTCAGCTTGTTCCCTCGCCTCACCCCCAACACCCGCTCATCACCTTCCGGGGTGAGAACACTGCGTTTTGAGGTTCCCAAGTTCACCGCTGAGAACGAACTGCACACCAATGCTGCAAGTAGCAGGAAGCCTTCCACACAGCCCGCCAGTACCATGGCCAGGGCAAGCCTGGGATGACCCGGGAGGGGGATTAAAGAATCTGAAGGTTAGGGCAAACTTGATAAGATAAGACGTAGCTTAAATATGTTTTGAAGCATGTCTATTTATATATTGGCATCTTTACTGTAGATTCTTTTATTTATCAAAAGATGTCTCTGGAAAAGTTGGAAAATAGTGGGGATACAACTGCATCTTTGACTTTACGGGGAGTTGATAAGAAACATGCCCCATATAAAAACAAAGATATAATATCATACCGAAAAACAGGTATCCTGCTTCCCCACACATATCCATGCATGACCTTTGGCTTCGCCCTTGGTTCTTTCCAGAACCTGCTAGCCGGGGCGGATGGTAATCCACATCTAGGGCCCGAGAAGACCACCCACACCAACTTGCAAGTTTCGAAATGCGAGCTTTTCCAGCATACAGCTCTACTACATCCAGCTGTTGATCTTGTCTCCACTCAGGGAAACTGAAGAAGCACATCAGGAGTACCAAGACTACAAAGTCCTAAGTTTGAGGGGCTGTTGATGCATCGAAAAACCGTTCACGTCCATGTCAGAAAATGACCCCAAATTCAAACCTGAATGTTGAACGTGAAAATTAGAATCCAAATTCTGGCAGAATGGTTTTTACATCTGCGCAATTGATGTTTTGAAAGTTTCCTAAGATAAACCCTTATTTTGGGAAGAGATTGCTGTCAAAACCACATCCTAATGCGATCAAAAATCTCGCGGACACCCCATGAAGACTAGGCGTCTCACAGCGCGTTCTCTCTCAGGTGTCAACATGGCTTCATAAAATGTGTGGGTACAGTTTCGAAGGTGCATCTACAGATGAGCCACCAGCACTGACATGTTCAAATCATGTGTGACAAGTTCTTTCTCAACCGTGTCAAAAAAAACTAACTCAGGACATGTGTGCCAAACAGGCCAGCACTACGAGATTCATCATCACTGGTGCTCCCATACTTGGCTAGATAGACTTGCCCACGCCGCTTGGGCATCCTGAGGATTTGTCAACAAAGAGCACTGGCTATCATTGAAAGTGGCAACAGGTAGACCAGACAGCCCCTGCGAGCCTTCTTCAAAGGAGCCCTCACAGCCACCTGTCCGCAAAGAGTGGGGGCAGGCTTGTGAACAGGCTGAAATGGAAACCCCAAGAGAAAAAAACAGTTGAATGAGGGAGCACGCTCACACACACACAACACGGAAAAGGATCGTGCCAGAAACTTTTGGTTTTGGGGTACCGTGCGAAAGTTGAATTCCCACCTTTGAGCTGCAACTAACAGTCAGTTTCAAACTGGGGTTGGCTGCAACTCCCTTGGCAGCCGGCGCCAAGCACACAGTTTTCACTGATCCATCGATGCGTCGCTAGTGTCGCTTACGACCAAGTCAACTGAAATGCGAAAATAGGCAAACAGCAGGTTTTTTCCCGCTGCGCCTAAACCCATCCTCGCACACCATTTAGCACCGCCAGCATTCATCACAAGATTGAAGCTTCAGAAATTAACTATACTATGAGCGATATTCCTTTCAAAAGCTGGTGGCCTGCCATCAAAATCAAATGCCACGTCAGTGTCACAAGAACATAGGCAAATACATCCCAAGGCATGCTATTTCAAACAGCCATCGGTATCTTGCTACCTAGGAGGCAGGCTTCATCGCTGCACCTGCAGTGTGGGAGTGGCTCACTGAAGGGATAAATTTGGTCACCGATTGCTGGGGCAAAAAAGCACCACAAAATCTTGATGATCCATCTTATCTACCCTACAATTTTGAGTCCCTCCAAATAAAGTAAAGCATTTGAGCTGTGATCCTTTTAGAGTTTGGCTTCGGCAACCTTGATATCATGTGGCTGTCAGTCAAAATTGTGTATGAAACGTTCCGCGGTGTTCCGGACATATGGAACGAAGAGGCTTCGTAACTGGTCTTGTTCCGGACCTTTGGAGTGTGATGAAATATAGGCTATACATAAATAAAAAAAATAAAAAACAAATAGATATAAATATATATATGTTTGTTGTATATAAATATGTAACGTATATTAAATGCATCTCAAGGATATGCATGTTGAAGCTACTAACGCTGGCTTCCGCTCATTTTCACTTCTCATTTGCACGACATCCTTATTGTACACCTGTTCAACCCAGGTTTGCTGCATGGCTAGTGCTCGTGCACTAGATAGGACACAACCGGTAGCCAGCGTCACCCGCTGGCTACCGTGTGAAGCTGTCCGCTCAGCTTCAGACCTGTCACGCGGGTCCCACCTCCTTAAAACTCAGAGGTCCCTATGGGGTAGATTGTGTCCCCGCGTAGCAAGACTCTAGGCTCCCATAACCCGCGCGCAAAGGATGGCTTAGGAGCAGTCTATGTGAGGGTGGTCCAGGTCTGGAACGGGTATGGAACGGTATGGAACCAGCACAACACTGCCACCACGCAGCACATCTTTATCAAAATTGGCAGTTTGGAGCGAGAATAGCGGAGCAAGCAATTTGAAATAATTTGCCACCCAAATAAAATGCTTGAAAGGCACGGATTTCCTCAAGCTGCATGAAACGGTCACACTGTTCATGTGCGACATGGAACAAGGTGGTGTACTCCATGGTGGTCGAATGGTTCTTCTTGAACTCCTCGGTGCTAAGCTTGTAGAAGGCATCCTGCAGCAGCTGCTGGGAAGGGACGGATGGAAATATATTATTTCAACATACTTGCCGTAGGTTTATCATAAACACAGGAAAGGGAAGAGGTGTGGGACAGTTACAAACTTTCCATGGTCAATGGCAAGAGCCACGGGCACGGGTCCTGGTAGCGAGACTGAGACTTAAGCTGGGGAGCAACAAACTGCATGTAGACATCACGCATGGCGAAGAACCGGTTGGCTCCCAACGGGTCAGTTGGGACATAGCGGCCAGCCCAAGTCTTGAGATTCTTGGCGCCCGGAGCGGCACCTGCGGCCCCACCTTCACCCGGATCCTCATTCGTGTCACCCGTTGCCTCTGTCTCCTTTGCCTTTGTGTCACCCACCTGCTTAGCACTCGTCTTGGCACGCTTGTTGGTGCCTGCGTTCTGCTTGGGACGCTTCCTGGATGGCGGATCCTTGGGATCGGCCACTTCAGGCTCAGTAGCTGCAGCTTTCACGCGACAAGGTTCAGGGCCAAGAGAACTTGCTGCCGCTGCCATTCCACCATCAGGGTCGGCTTCACCAGGACGGTCGCCATGCGCCGGGTGAACTTCACCAGAAAGATCACCGTGACAAGGACCATGTGCATGGCCAAGGGAAGCATCCTGTGAGGCATCAGCAGCATCAGCCTCACAGCACGCCTCATGAGGAGTGTCTGCGTCTGCAGGCGCAGGTGGAGCAAGCTTCTTCTTGGCCCTGGACTTTCTGGCCGCTGCTTTGGGTCGGTTTGCCTCTGTCTTGGCTTTCGCCTTGGCTTTCGCCTTGGCTTTCGCCTTTGCCTTGGCTCGGGGGGCCTTCTTCCCATAGGAAGGCAAATCAGACTCAGCAGGGGCTCCCGCTTCCAGGGGCTTCTTGCCATCATCATCCGCAGGCTGCGACGGTTCATGTGGAGGTGACTCGGTTCCAAGCTGCTGGCGACGGGTAATCAAGGGCACCTGCTGGAAGTGGAATTTGACGCCCCAGCCTTTTTACAAGTTAAAAAACATGTGATGCAAAATGGGAAGAACCCCTGCACCTGAGCATCTTCCAACTTCTGCACGTCATAGGTCACCACTTCGCCATTGCTCTTAGAAAACTCGGGCTGAGTCTGCGGAGGGATGCCCATGTTTGGAGGATCAGCTTGCAAGGGGCAGGAGTGCCCAGAAGGAGCTGCACGAACTCCTGAAGAAGCTTGCTTCGGCTGCTCAGGACATCCACCTGGAAGCGATGTGCCAGAAGGATCCTGCCCAGGCTGCCCACCCCATCCACCATGTTGAGGGGGAAGCGGCTTGCCAGAAGGAGCTTGCTCCGGCGGCTGAGCACATCCACCATGTTGACGGGGAATCTCAGGCTGAGCGCATCCACCATGTTGAAGGTCAAGCGACTTGCCAGAGGGAGCTTGATGTTGAGGAAGCGGCTTGCCCACACGAGCTCCCTCCCTCTGCCCATCACATCCACCATGCTGAGGGGCACATCCACCATGTTGGGGTGGCTTGCCCACAGGAGCTTGCTCCGGCTGCTCAGGAAGCGACTTGCCAGAAGGAGCCTGCCCAGGCTGCCCATCACTTCCACCATGTTGAGGGGGAAGCGGACATCCACCATGTTGACGGGGAATCTCAGGTTGAGCACATCCACCATGATGTTGGGGAGGAAGCGGCTGGCCAGAAGGAGCTTGCTCCGGCTGCTGATCACATCCACCATGCTGAGGGGGAAGCGACTTGCCCGAGGAAGCTGGCTGCACCTGCCCATCACATCCGCCATGGTGATGGGAAAGGACACACTCCTTCTCTGCCAAAGAAGCTGCTGATGCCAAAACTTGAGATGCACCCTTCGGATCACCCTCCTCTTGGTCGTCAACTAGGTTGATGAAGTCAGGAAGGGGATCAGGAGCATCAAGCACATCAAAGGGCAATGTCTGCATATTGTCCCCACAAGGACCGTCACCAATGCCTCAGTCAGAGGGAAGGTGAGCTGCCAAAAAATCTTTGGAACTCACTCAGCAGTTGTTTGGTTTTTGGCAATGCCTAAAAAGATTAAAATGTGGTTAGGCTAGTTGCAAGCCGAGCTCTTTGCACGAGCCAAAGATGCCAAAGCACGATTGCTCATCTCATGCCTAAGGGTTTGGTTGCTGGGTTGCAGGGCGGCAAGTCATTGACTTCTCGTATCCAGCTCGTATTTATAAAGTATTTTCAGCTGAATTCCCAAGATCCCAGGTTTTAACCACTAAAAAACTATAAAACCGGAAAGCCCCTTTGTTTATAACCCTTGCCTCATACTTTCCAGCTTCGCCAGAATCAGCTCCCGCTTCTTCATGATGTCCTCCTTGCAAGGCGTTGCGAGGTCCACCTTCGAAGGCTGGCCCGCGGCAGCGGGCATGGAAGGCACTGACGCAGCCCCTTGGTCCGACATGGATTTCCGCTCCAAAGAGCGGGCGTGTTTCACTACAGCAGCTCCCTTGATAGCTTTGGACTTGGCACGGGTAGGGATATCATCCTCAGAATCTACCTCTGTGTCACTGGGGTGCAACTTCCCATCCTTTATGGCTAGTTGTGGTTCTGGTTCGCTGGTGACCTTCCTTGTGGGAGGTGGTGTCCAATAATGATCCATAATTTTCCACAGATCCGCAAGCCTTCCATCCTGACCCATGGAAAATTTAAATGGGAAAGGTTGAAATAAAAATTAAAGATACGACAATTTCAAAATAACACGCGATGTTTGGAAACCAGCTCCTTTGGGCGTTCTGATTCCTTCCATCGGTTCAAGGCGTGTGAGAACATCCTTTTGCAGTTCCAGGCTTCTCTTTTCACAAAGGTCTCGCTCGGAGGGAAATCCATTTTCTCTTGAAAGATCTGAACCTAGCACAACTAATTAATCAGGGGACCTTAATCATGTTTAATTACAACAGGACAACAGGACAACATCTTTTAAAATTTGGGTGGCCTCAACTTTTTTGTGGGGCAGTATTATCCCAGTTAAAAAATGTTTGCAACAACTTTGTTGTAACCCAACCTGCTTTTTCATGATTTCGATGGGAGGCGACTTGGCTTCGGATTTTTGAGGGCACCACCATCCTCCAAGAATCTCCAGTTGATGCACGTTCATAACAACATTGGCATTGCACTGAACTCCTTTCAACCTTGATTCAGCCCTTCGGATTAATTTCTTGTGTTTTCTGGCTCGCTCTCGAACATACTCATCCTTTTCCCACAGGACGCCCAAAGACTTTGTGGGGGGCTTTTCGCCCGCCATAGGTATAGAGGCAGAACTAACTTGAACACTCAATGGCTTCTAAAACACCCATGCGCCAATTGTTGATGGATTCAACTCCTCATGGGGCTCACCTCACCCCAACCCGATCCGGCCTTCAAGCTGCTGAAATATCCAGCAGCGTTGCCATGCAAGGTACCTTTCGAAGCTGGAATGAGGCAACTGTCCAACCTGCTGGACAGACATTTGCTGCAAAAAAGAAATGTGGAGGGGGGCGCACGGGCCAGGGTGAGCAAAGGCTCTCAAGTGGCAGGAAATTGAGCCACCAAGGACAGCAAAACCAAGAAAAAACAAAAAAGTCGATTGCAAGAATTTTCTCCGTTTGGGATCAAAAAGATACTTCTTGCCCAAACAAGGAAAAAAAGACAAGGTTTGGAATACGTAGGTATACTTCAGCCCGACCACGTTTTGGTGATATGCTGCGGGGGGCTGGGTCCGTACGGATCGCTTTTTACATGGATGAAACTACACCAGGCAATGTGCTTCGCCCAGATCATGGTCGATCACTGGCGTGCTTCTACTGGACATTGATGGAACTACCGTCCTGGTTTCGGAGCCGCCACTGTGGCTGGTTTTATTTCGGGCTTTTTCCTCTGTCGCTGGTGGAGCACGTAGCAGGTGGCTATTCTTTCCTGTTTGCCTTCATGGTGAAAACATTCTTTGGCAAAGGATTGCTAGCATGGGATTTCGACAGGACAGGCATTTGCTGCAAATCAAGTGGTGGAGACTTCATTTTGAAAGCGCGTTTCGGGGCCCTACTTTCAGACGAGAAAGCAATGAAAGAGCGCTGGTGCACGAAAGGTGCTAGTTCCTACAAGCCTTGCCACCTGTGCAAGAATGTGATGGGCCGGGTGGACCTGCCAGACCGCGGCTACTTGGTTCACTACACTTGCACAGATTCAAGCCGCTTTGATTTGCATACTGCTGACAGTTTCCGGACTATGGCACAGAATCTGAAGCTTGAAGCTGGCAACCTGAGCAAAAAAGACTTCGAGCGATTGGAGCAATCTTGCGGGCTTGTTTTCGACCCTCTTGGCATCTTGTGGTGTGAAGATTTGGGAGGCATTGTCAACCCTGTATCACACACCTACTGGGACTGGATGCATATATTGATGGCCTGTGGTGGGATTGCTCAGTATGAGTTCAATCAATATGCTAGGCGCCTTTGCAGTGCTGGCGTGTCCTTGCGGGCCCTTGACGATCTTGCTGCGGAGATTGTGTGGCCAAAGGGTGCTTATTGGTCAAAGAAATATTTCCAAAAGCTTGTGGTGGATAAAGACGGTGCCCATTTAAAGGCGTTTGCCAATGAGCTTTTCCAGTTGATGGACATTTGGCGCTTAATACTCCAGCTGGTGGTGGGCCCGGCTGGCATCCTGGAGCTGGAAACCAGAAGTTTAGAGAGCATGATGAAAATCATTGACATTTTGTCGATGCAGGAAGAGGCGTTGCCTCTTGTTGGTGACTTGGAAATCGAAATTGCCCAGCACCACGCTTGGTTTCTAGAACTTTACCCGGATTGCAACAAGCCGAAAACACACTGGCTACGACATGTTCCGTCCTTGTTTAGGGAGTTTGGCTGCAATCTCAGCTGCTTCAGCCCTGAGAAGAAGCACAAGGGAGTGAAGCAGCTGGCGCTTTTGATTTCTGCCAACGTTGAGAAAGGAGTCTTGTACCGCGCAGTTGCAGAAAATTTCTCTTCTTTCTCCAATGATGAAAATATGCTACGCCCTATTTTCCTGGAACGGGCGCAGGACATGGAAGCTGAGTGGCTGCGGGCATTCTATCCGGACATGCAAGAAGCGAAGGTTTCAAAGACACTGCGTTTTGAAGGTGGGCGGGTGTCAGCATCAGATATGCTATGGTTTCCGGCTACAAAGCACCTTGCTCAGGCATCCTTCTTTTTGCAGGTTCGGCTTTTGAACACCTCTGAGTTCTTGATCCACGGGGACTTATATCAGCAGGTTCGGGACAGCAATACTTTTCGAAGCACTGGCGTTGCCAGGCTTTTTGTTTGCACTAAGGACATGGTGCCAATTTCTTTCTGCAAACGAAATGGCGGAATTTGTCCTTGTGTGAGGCTCGCCCACACGAACTGAGCCAGGGCATATAGCTGAGCGAGTAAATGGCACTGGTCGACCCCTGTATATATGTATATAACTTTGTACATATCCTATATGTAAACTTTTTAAAATAAATAAATAAATAAAAATAAATAAATAATATATATATATACTATTTTGTCAGACATGCATATGTCTATATCTATGTACAACATAAAAACAAGTTTTAACCCTATGTGCTTTGTGTTAAGGAAGGTCCAACCCTTCATACTACCCCTCACCAGCTCATGCCAAATCTATGGAGTGCTTCTTTGGGTCACAGTGCTGTGCTTGTTTTGCAGAAGGTATGCACCAACATGCGACCACGTCAATTCTTTGTAGTCGCAGCAGCCATATACCCACAAACCCGAGATTTGACTTCAGATCTTTGAAAGGCTCGCCTTCAATCTTTGCAAGGCTCGCCTGCAGAGACTTTCACCATGAGCGCCGCTAGCGAAGTGCCTGCTACTGCCACTGCAGAAGCTCTCCCCGAATCTGCGGCCAGTGAAGCTACCGAAGCGGCTTCTCCAGCTGAGACGGCAACATCTTGTGCAGAAACGCCTAGTGGCGTAGTTCCTCTGGACAAGGTGGAGACCGGCCCTGGACTTCCAGCAGAAAGTTTGTGTTCCACCTGCAGGAAGCCTGTCTCTGTGGTTGTGGCACGGGCAGTGGGGAAGACAGCTACTTCTTTGCGCTGCAGGGCATGCCACAATTTAAAAAGTAGGATCAACCGGGTGTTGAGCCACTATGGCTCATTGGCCCAGGATTGGACGAAGGTAACTGAAAAGGAGAAGAAAGAATTTTACAAGAAGTACAAGGAGCAGGCGGGACCGGACCTTCTGACCAGGCTCCAGGAGACAGTGACGGAAAGCAAGAAGACCAGCAGCGCCGTCTCCTTCGAGGGCACCGGCGATTTCCTGGACGAGATAGATTTGGAGGAGAAGTACAGGAACAAGCCAGATCAATTGGCCGCTATTAAGGCCAACACCCGGACCTACTTCTGTCCAGTTCGACAGGTGCAGCTTTTCGAGGATGTGAAATATAAGCGCACGGCTGTGGAGACCGAGGAGTACGCGAAGGTGCAGAAGCGAAAGAGGCAATCAATTCCTCTTGAACAAGGTGAACGTGATGAGACGGCTGCAGATTCGAGCCAATGCAAGAAGGGCAAGAAAGAAGCAGCCAAAAGTGAGCTGCCGAAGTTGAAGGCTGGAGGCAAGAAAAAGATTTCCAAGAAAGTGGAACTGATGAACGCAAAGAAGCTGCAGCTGATGGATTGGAACTGCAAAGCGCGTGGTGACAAAGTCAAAGACTTGGTGCCCGGCTACGTCGTGAAGGCTTCCACAAAGCTGGTGGATGACGCTGTGGCCTTTGGGGTTGAATGCGACAGCATTCTTGAAAGTGGCCATGGCGACGCAGATGAGGTCATCAAGAAGGCAGACGCTTTCATGGAGCAACTGACAGAGATGATGGGCCGCGTCAAGTGCCAAGTGGATCAGGCGCATGCTTTTGTTGCCACTGGTGCGAGCGGCCAGGAGTGAGGCTCGCCCGCTCAACTTCCAGAGGCTCGCCCTGAAGGCGGCAAATTTTGACAGCACGGCGATTCCTTAAGAGGAGAAAGGAAAATATCCCGTTCTTTTTCTTTGCAGAAAAAAAAATCAAAAAACGAAACATTTTGGCCGTATCGGGGCCGTATCGGGGCCGTATCGGGATGACTTTGGATACCCGGCCTTATTGAGACCATTCTCTTTCAAAAAATGAAATGTGAAAGTCACGGTCCTGTTTTTTGGTGGCACTCCGCGTGTGCAACTTCCACTGTGTATGAATTTGGGAATGGGCAAAATCACACGAGCTCAAAGGCCAGCCTTTGAAGCGTGACAAAAATATAAGTGCAAGCCTACCAGTAAAGAACACAAACAGCGTCCAACCCCCGGCCAAACACGTACTCCCCAGCGCGCACTTGGCTCACAAAGTCTCTGTGAAAGGCTCGCCTTCACCCATGGAAAGAAACGCTCCTGCACGCACGACTCAGACTGAGATGGCTGGAGGTCCCCCCCAGCTAGCTGGAGGCTCGCCCCAGCTGCAGACATGCGACGGCTCGCCCCAAAGAAAGCGAAGGAGCGGAGGTGAAGAAGCGCCGCGCAAGCAGCAACGCAGCTCCAAAGATTTATCCCCTGTTTCAATGGGCGCTGAAACTTTGACCCTCGACTTTTGGGAAGACAGAGACATAGAGGTGGGCGAGGACACCCAGCAATTCCCTGAGAATCCATCGATCGACTATGAGCTTGCATACACAGACTGGATGTTGTCCCAGTTGTCTGAGAAGGATGGCACGTGCAAGTGCAAATGGGTAACCCATGGCACTCGCTGGCATCGATGGGTTTGCTTTCTCTGCAAATATCCGGGCTTTCCTCCAGAGCCACCCCGAAACGCACGAGCCATGAACGGCGGCAGTTAGTTTAATTAAACCGTGAGGCTTGCCCACGTGATGTGCAGTGCAATCTAGTATATGATGCAAATTTTGCAAGAAGAGAAAAATGAACAATCTGCTTTTCTTTGGGCTTACAAGGCTTTTTCCAGCTTGTCAGCTTTGGCGCATGTCAACAGGTCGACTTTCCCAACCACAATGTGCATTTTGACAAATGCAACCGGAAAATAGCTGAAGCATCTGTTTTTCTTTGGCCCACATCTGCGCACATACTTACAAACACCACAGTGTATATACCCAGCAAGCACGGCTCAAGAAAGCATTTGCTGTTTTGGTTTGAAGATGGGGTCGGAGGTTTTAGTTCCCGAACCCAATGACTGGAAAACAGAATTTCCACAGCTGAGGCTCGCCCAGCCAATCCACATAGCAATGCCATGCTGCGGAATAGACGGTGCTGGTTGGTCACTCCGAGCTATGGGGGTGCCCTTTACACCAAACAACGTATACGACCTGGAGACGCGATACAAGGAGTACTGGCAGGGCATGGTTGAAGAAGGCTCGCCTCTTCATTTCGGAAAGCACAATGGTGACATTGTCCAGGTCCAGCTGTCGGACTTGGAGCGCCCGGTGCATGTGCTTTGCAGTGGCCCGCCATGCCCGCCTTGGGCAGGAAGTGGCAAAAAGAAAGGTGTGGAAGACTTCCGAGCAAAAGCTTTTCTGGCTATTGTGAATATAGTGGCTTCGCTAGCCAAGTGTGGTGAGCTGCAAGCAGCGATCTTGGAAAATGTCCAAGGCATTTTACACCGCCAAGGTGGCGAAGAAAGTTTCATGTCAAAGCTTCTGCACATTTTGCAAGAAGAAGTGCAGGAATTTCTCTGGCAGGTGGACACCCTCAAGGCGGTGGACTACAAGCTAGCACAGGACAGAACGCGTGTGTTCTTGCGTGGGATCCGGAGCACGTTGTGCCCAAGCGGGGCGGTGCCACCTCCACTACCCCCATTTGGCAATTTGGCCACAGAGTGTTGACAGACTTTCTGGCGTCAATGCCTTGTGTGGACCGTAAGAAGCTCACAAAGTGCATGGCCCAAAACTTGAAAGACAGCCAAGAACAACTGCGGAAACTTTTGCAGGAAGGTCGCCTCGTAGAGACAGATGTTGTCTGCTTCCCACTGGACCGCGCAGATGGCAAAACATACAAGCGGCATATCAGCGTCAATCGTACACCAACATTGACCACCTCGAATTCATACCTGTTTGTGTCAGACATGAAGGTGGGCCTCCCAGATCAGCAACGGACACACTTCCGTTTCTTGCATCCGCATGAGCGGTTTGTTTTGCAAGGTTTCAACGTGGAAGTCGCCGAACAATTCGCTTCCAGCCAAGCCTTACAAGTCAAGGCAGCAGGAAATGCCTATCCAGTGCCACTCATTGGAGCAGCAATGGCCCCATTGCTGGCTGCCTTCGGTAAGCTGCCCCAGAAAGGAGAAAGGGAGCTGGAGTTCCCCACGCGTTTCCATGAGCGTTTGGCTGACGCCATGTACGGTGCTGGGAAGAAAAGCAAACCAAAGAAGGCAGGACATAAGGTGCTCAAACGACCGGCTGCACACCAAGCATCAGAGAAACCTGCAGACGAAAAATTGGACAAAACCCACCCTGGGCCCCATGACAAGGAGCAACATGACGGTGGTGGGGCACAGCCTTTGGGTGAAGAACGTGCGGGGCCTTCCACCAAGAAGCGACCTGCCAGCACGGCAAGCATCGGAAAGCCCTGTCAGAAACCAAGACTCCCTGCCGCATGGCGCCTGCGTGGCTTTCTTTCTTCCTCAAGCTCTGACTCCGGCTGAATGTGCAAGGCTCGCCTGCACCCATCATACCAGTTTTGAAGCAAGGCTCGCCTGCTGCGATGCGTAACCACGACGGATCCACAACTTGCGCTAAAAACAATAACTTGCAAGTGTTACGCCCAGAAGCCCGTTGCACTCTCACAGGTGGGCAAAGATTGCATGAGTTTATTTCCTCTTCCACGCTGGTTCAAGCTGACCACGGGTTGCTGCGAGGCTTGCCCGCAGAAACATTGAGAGCGAAGCTTTTGCTTGTGATTGTAGGGACAAACCACATGGCTGAAGCCCGCTTTGATGGGATGCTTGACTACTTCGCTGCTCTCCAAAAGAGTTGCGGGGGGTTCCTTGAAAAGGACGCCTTAGACCCCCTGTTGAAAAGCTGCATGCTGGATATTGAACGCGCCCCGCCCATAACCATAGAAGCAGGGGCCAGCATGCTTAGAAAGCTTGAGAAAGCTACCGTGCCCCAGGCATGGCGTGAAGCTTTAGTGAAACTGGTGCAAACCAAGGTTCAGACAGGCGCAGAGAACAGCTGCAACCAAGGGAATAAGAAGAACAAGGAAAAACCAAGGCAGACATGTTTGCACTTGGACAACTATTTCTTGAAGAAGGACTGGGAAAAACTGGCTTCGGATGGGTTGACTGACAAGGTCAACTTTGCAGCGCAAAGAATGGCAGCCCTGGGTTTGCTGAACCCAACAGAGCCGACTGCGGTGCATGCAGTCGCAATTCTGTATTTGACGTCGCACAAAGGGACCCTGGAAGAACTTAACATCAATGGCGTCCATGCTTTGAATACGGTGCGGGATTTGAAATCTGTGCTCAGAGGATTGAAAGGCTTTACGCAGTCTGGGATCACCAACTACCCAATGGATCCTGCAGAATTGCCCGGCCCCATATTCATGAAAGCGTTTGGACAAGAAAAGCCTGAGCCAAGCCGTCTGGATCCTCACGCGCTTGGATGGTTGCAAGTTGTGCTACCTGCAAGGGACACGCACACATCAGTGCGAGGTGCCTGGGGAAAGCGAACCTCGCGACTACGTACTGGTAACAACTTCCAGGAGATGCTCATGAATGCCATGAGCAACCCTGACATGGCAGCAGCTTTCGCCAGCATGATGAGAAACAATTCTGGAGTGCAGCTGAACATGACACGCCGGAAACAGTTGATGCCAAGCGCTGCCTCTGCACAGGTGGAACCACTCATGTTGGCAAACGGGCCAGCTGCTTCTCACAACTTGGCAGGCAAGCAAGACCCAAAGGATGAAGTCGACCTCGAGACATCGCTTCCAAGTAATGAAGAACCTAGCATCAAGGCTCGTCCTGGTGCAAACGAAATCAGCAAGGCTGGTCCTGCTGTAAGTGAAACCAGCAAAGCTCGGCCTGCTGCAGGCGAACCCTGCGAAGCTCTGCCTGCAAAGGACAGCAAGGAATTGCCTCCGCTGGAACCCAAAAGTGTAGATGCCATGTCGAATGACATCTTGGCAGCCATTGGCGGCCAAAAAAGAAAGAAGACCGCTGCTGAACAGACCACTGAGGGCGATGACGTGCCCATGCCGAAGGCAAAAGCCAAAAGCAAGCCAAAGGGAAAGGCCAAAGCCACAGCAAAGAAAACATCTGCTGTGGCCAAGGCCAAGAGTACGCCTCCCAAGACCAAGAATGCTGCGCCCAAAGCAAGGCCGAAGAAAAAGAAAGAGGTCTTGCCATTCCCTGGGACAGCTGCGCATGAGCCCGTTCGCCACAAGCACGCCACAGTTTACATATGCCCCAAGTCCACCAACTACAGGGTCAAACTTGATGGTGAGAAGAAGGACAAGGCCTTCAGCTGGGAACGCCAGGATGCGAAGGAGGCATGGGTGCAGGTGAAGGAATACATCCTGAACTTGGAGTGAAGGCTCGCCTCACCAACTTGGTGGAGGCTCGCCCCACCATGGCTGAATCTGTCACCCAGTTGACGGAAGCTATGCCCACCTATCGCCTGAAGAGAGGGCTTGTTTCACAAAGCACAGCCCGCAAAGTCCAAAATTTGCATCCTGATATTTGGCCTGCTTCTTTTTGGAGACGGGTTGTTCCTGTTTTTTTGCTGCTGCATTGAAAATTTGGGTGGTCCTTTTTGTGTTTTTTGCAACCTCTAGTGTGTTTTTCAATATGTCCTTTGGCCTGAATGTTGGCCCCTCGTGTGTGTTTTTTTGGAATCCCTCGTGGCCTTTTTGTGGGACCCTCGTGGCCATTTTCCTGATCACGAGGATTTGCTGAGCTAAGTGGTTATAACTCCGGCTAATTAGTTAGCTGCGAGGACCCTGCTAATTGTTTGTAAATGGTTATTAACCTTCGTTATAAAACAACTAAACGCAAAAAGCGCCAAAGTATACCTCGAGGCCGACCACCGGATCCGCGCAGCGTCGCGCCTGCATTCTTTTTGACATGTCTGCAGCAGATTTAGATACGGGGGAATGATTCCCGAGCGAGGAAACGAAACAACATCTGGCGGGAGACTGCCAGGATCGTGAAGGCACCACCACTGCGGTGTGCCAGCTCAGCAACTTCACCACCCCATGATTCATCGCGGTAAGTCCACGTTAACGACGGATTCGTGCCTTCACGGGCGAGCTCCAACAACAGATGAGACTTTGGTTTCAGTCGCCAAGAAGTGTGATCTTCCTGTCTCTGATGGAAGCGTTCCACCCACACCATGCCGTTCATAAAAGCGATGCTTGCGGTTTCGAAAACGACTGGGCACCAATTCGTGCGCGACAGGCATGCATACATTTGTACCACTTGTTGCCCGGTGTGGCCCATGGCTCGCTCGAGGGGCACGCCTCCATCGAGATACTTTGCAATCAATTCGCGGATGATTCCAATTACTGGATTGTGGAGAGAGGCTGTTTTTAAAGTTTTTTGTGCGATTTGCTTCTTTGCTGCTTCTAAAATTACCTACAAGCAATTCCTTACACAGAAAAAACACAGAAAAAACAGGTTTCTTATCCAAAGTGTATCTAATAAATAGGGGTTTGTCTTGAAAAAATGCAGATCATTCTTCCATGTTTGTAGTACCTCAGAAACTGCATCTTAAAATAAAAAATATATATATATATGTATATATTGAGAAGATGTGTGCATATTACAGATTAAATTAATCAAATTGTAATATTTCATACTTGATAATTCAAAATGCAAAAAATGGTGCGATTCAAAGTGGAAGCAGTTCAACTTCATTGAGTGGCAGCTGACAATCATGTGATTCAAAGCCGACAAAGCAGTTTAACTTCACTTACTGGCAGCTGGCCAGCCCCCATCTGATCATTGAGCCCTTTGCGACTCTGCAGTCTGCAGTCTCAAGTTTGTTGGTGGCTTGCCCCCTGCTTTTGGAAATCCCCCGGCAGCTGAACCATGGGATCTTGCATGTCTTGCTGGTCCTGGTGTGCAAAGGAGCAGCCGCTTCCTGACAGGTTGTGGGTTGCCCGCGACGGCGTTTCTTATCATATCAGCAATGACTGCCAACACATTGTGAGAAACCCGGCTGATGAAATTTGGACCAGGACCAGGCAAGGAAGTGACAACGTGCGCTACTGTTGCGTGTCGGTGCAATTTTCACTGTTTTTGGTTGAAAGCTGGCATGTCAAAGGTGCCCACTTTGCTTCCCTGCGCAAGACCAGCGATGATGCAGTGCTGACGAAAAACAGCACCTGACGGTTGTCCCTGGACTTTGAAAGGGGCGCTTGCAATCATCATTTCGCACAAGCGCACTCACGGGTACACAGACACATGCATAGGAGAACCAAAGATATGTGATGGCGGCGGAACGTAGCAGCATCATCAAAAAGTGTGGCATTTACCTGCGAATGTTTGTCAGCGTGTCAGTTGTCGGTAGTCTGTCTGTCTGTCTGTTTGTCTTTCTGTCTGTTGTTTGTCTGCGTCTTCAGTCAAGTGTTTGTTTGCGTCTGCCAGCTTGCCTGTGTTTGCCAGACCTGTGTCGGCCAGTGTTTTGTATGTCTGTTTCTGTCTGTTCCTGTCTGTTACTGTCTGTTTCTGTCTCTTACTGTCTGTTACTGTCTGTTACTCGTACTGTCTGTTACTGTCTGTTACTGTCTGTTACTGTCTGTTACTGTCGCTTACTGTCGCTTACTGTCTGTTACTGTCTGTCTGTTACTGTCTGCTACTGTCTGTTACTGTCTGTCACTGTCTGTCACTGTCTGTCACTGCCTGTCACTGTCTGTCACTGTCTGTCACTGTCTGTCACTGTCTGTCACTGTCTGTCACTGTCTGTCACTCCCTGTCACTGTCTGTCACTGCCTGTCACTGTCTGTCTGTCTGTCACTGTCTGTCACTGTCTGTCACTGTCTGTCACTGTCTGTCACTGTCTGTCACTGTCTGTCACTGTCTGTCTCTCTGTCACTGTCTGTCTGTCTGCCTGCCTGGCTGTCTGTCTGTCTGTCCGTCTGTCCGTCCGTCTGTCTGTCTGTCACTGTCTGTCTGTCACTGTCTGTCTGTCACGGTCTGTCTGTCACTGTCTGTCTGTCACTGTCTGTCTTATCACTGTCTGTCTGCCACTGTCTGCCTTTCACTGTCTTTCTCTCACTGTCTGTCTGTCTGTCACTGTCTGTCTGTCTGTCTGTCTGTCTGTCACTGTCTGTCTGTCTGTCACTCACTGTCTGTCTGTCTGTCACTCACTGTCTGTCTGTCTGCCTGCCTGCCTGTCTGTCTGTCTGTCTGCCTGTCTGTCTGTCAAGATCATCGGTCCATCGACTATCAGTGGTTGTCCATCGAATATATCAGTGTTTGTCGGTGATGGACAGATACAGAGACAAACCGACTGAGACAAGTTGGCTCAGCCAGACATGTGTTGTCATGGGCTCCCTTGCAGTGTTAATTGATTCTAGACTATTCGTTTAATTCGCAACTTTCCATGATAACACTGCAGGCATTTGGCTTGAAGTGAGATCTCAGGACCATTCACGTCTGGAGACCAAGCCATGGACGAGCTGGAACTTGCCCAAGCTGAGGCTGAGTTTGTCCACGCTGGGCTTGCACAACACAGGGCCGACAGGAAAAGAGGTTCATCCCTCTTGGTGCCGAGACTGCAGTTCAAGCGGCGCCACAGGGCCACACGCCTCTTGGGTTTCAAACCCAAAGCATTTCAAGCACAGGGCCCAAAAGTAAAGACTGCAAAAACCACACCCACAAAAAAAAAGAAGAGCAGTGGCCAATTACAAGGCTGGCCAGAAGGCCACCGGGCGACCCACCAGGCCAGGAAAGGGCGAGTTGAAGGCAAGGCAGTTCGATCCGAGGGGAAATGCTCCGATGATTGTCACTGGCTCAGATTGCTCAGGTCTGGACACTGCTACTGCTGCTTTGAAAATGGCAGGCCTCGAGCCCTGCACGGTGTTCTTGTCTGAGAAAGATGCCCACGCCAGAAAAGTGTTGGAGAGCAACTATGCGACTGGTGGAGCTTATGCAGTCGAGGGCATTGGTGGCTTGCCCCATGCTGGCAGCAAGCCTCGGATTTTCAACAACACCATGGCAAGGGATGATTCCGAGATCAGTGCGGAAATCGACCTCTACACTGCAGGCCCACCCTGCCAGCCATTCAGCATGGCTGGTTTGCAGAATGGCTTGCACGATAAACGTGCTCATGTGCTGCTGCGTGTTCTGCAGACGATTAAGACCATTCAGCCCCTGACATTTGCCTTGGAGAATGTCAAACCATTAGCGCGGCACAAGATGTTCAAGCTCCTCTTTGATTTCATTTTGGCTTTCCTACGTTCCATCGAAGATGCAAATGGCGAGAAAGTGTACCAAGTGGAATGCAAGGTTCTCGTTCATTGCAAAAATTATTTGGTTAATTGTTGATTTGTTTTTTAAGCTTCTTGGTTGTCCTGTTGATTCATCATTTTTACGACAATGACAATGCCTCCTGAGGTTCTTGACACAAGCGTTGTAGGTGGCTTGCCCCAAGCGCGGCTACGCACTTACATTGTTGGCTGGAAAATTGCAAAGGCGGACCCTTCCATGAAATGGCAGTGGCCAGCCCGCATCCCTTGCAGGAGCGTGTCCAGTTTGCTGGACTGCACAGATGTCTCTGACTTACACCACGGCGTGACCACGGAGAAAGGCAAAGCAAGGGTCCAGCAGCACCTGGTGTCAGTCGCCAAAATGATCCAGGATTCCATTCTGAAGTGTTCCGCCACAAAGGCCTGTGTTGGCTCAATCATTTTTCTTTCTTTGGCTACCGGAAATTGGTCATCTTTTAGCTCGTCGTTAATAATTTGTTCTGGTTGTTTCCTTGATTGAAAGAATTGCGATTCTGCATTTGTAGGTACTGAGTGAGTAAAAATAGCCACAGTAAGCACTTACATGTTTGGATTGAAGGCGTCACAGGATGCTGTGTGGTGCGCCGATGTGGGGTGCAGCTTGAAGCGCGGCGCGACAGCCCTGCCTGAAAAGTCACCGACGTTGACGCACAGTCGGTGCAAGTCTGGAGGTCACATGTTGCTACCCATGCAGCGGCACATGACTTTGAATGAAATTGAAGAACTTCAGGGGTTTCCAGGAGGACATTTACGGATCCCTGCCGGAGTCAGCAAGAAGAAGTATGCAGGCATGCTTGGCAACGCTTTCACTGTCAGTGTGATCGGCAGGGTTGCGTTGAATTTGCTGAAAATGGTCGGCAAGGTGCCCCCCGAACATTTTGACCCATGGGCAATGCCGAGCATGAAGCATGACTTTGTCGACTACAGCCGCTTCAATGGAATGAAGCGCCGCTGCGTGAGGAGAGATGGTCACACAGACTCATAGACAGAGAAGTTTGCAACATCTGAATTTGGTTTCGGTGGCTTGCCCCATTCCTCAAATTTGGCTTTGATTTTGTTTTTGGTGCCTTGCCCCATACCAATTCTGGAATTAGGCTCTGCTGGCAATTCGAGCCGCCTTTTTCGTGAGCTGTTACATTGGTGGCTTGCATCATGGAACTTGCCCTCCGTAATTCATAATTCAGTGGTGCAAACTAGTGCTACCATCACCAATTCATGATTGCAGAGCGGTGCATTGCCACCTTGTGGAACCTTCGGAAAAGTATAGTGCCTCTGCGTCGCGAGGTTTAGCTGAGCACACTCCCAAGCAAGGTCTTAGAACTGACAGTAGGTAGTCGGAGAATTTCTCTTTGGGGGGTCCTATGACAGTGCATGCGTGCCCATGCCGCTGCTTGGTTGCTTCAAACAAGTAGACATCAGTTGTTTGGACTGGTCGCCGGTGGCTTGCACCGCCTGGAGGATTTACTGCCAGAGCACATGGATGTGGAACAATGCGTGCAGGACCGAGTGTTAATTGGGGAGAAAGATTTTGCAGGTTATAATTGGAAAACTCAAAGTTAGACAGAAATAGATTCTCTCGACAGCCGGGCGCCCCATCGAATGTACAGAGGAGGCTCAGATCAATTGTTTTTTAAACAAATATGTTGCCAAATCCAGGGACCAGCCCCTCTGGACAGTCGGGGGCGCCCCAGACTGTCCAGAGCCGGCTCTGGACAGTTGGGGGCACCCCCGACTGTCCAGAGACCCTCCCAGAAGGTCCTCAAAACACAGTTTAACAGTAAAAACGGTGCGAAAAAAAAACTCCAAATAACAAATCGCAGACCTGCTGTGTCCAGAGCACTTCTGGATCCAGGAGGCCTTGTGGACAGTTGGGGGCGCCCCGGACTGTCCAGAGGAAACTTTTCACTCATTGTTCTTGACTTTTGAAAATTTCAAAAGTCAAGAAAAATGATGGAAAAGTTTCCTCTGGACAGTCCGGGGCGCCCCCAACTGTTCAGAAGACTTCCCGGATCCAGAGGTCCTCTCGACAGGAACTCCGTTCGAGGAATGGAGTTTTTGCAAATCACGGCCTTAGCTCTGGACAGTGCCAACATGGGTCTCAAATGCCGTTTTTTCTTGAATTTGCCAGGAATTCGTGCCAGAGCAGATCGAGCCTGTGACAGACTTTGGCAAGAAATGGAAAAGACTTGGGCCCAGATGGGTGGCACAGTACCCTTGGCTACACTGCACAAGGAACCGAGCTGGAGAAGTGAACAGTGTGTACTGTAAGGCATGCAAGCTTCATGGCAAGTTCCACGCTGAGTTTCGAACAGTGTCCTCGTTGCAGAAGGCGCACTTCGATAAACATGAGCGAGCTAAGAGCCACAGGATAGCAGTTTCTGATCCTGACGTTCGCTTGGCCCTTGTTGCCCCTCCAGTTGCTGCTTTCGTGGAAGCTCTGCGTTTAGTCCGCCAGGGTAAAGCAGGAGGGGCTGAAGGCACCGGAACTTTGAAACGTGGTTGCTCAAAGCTAAGTATTGCTTGGCTGAAGCTTTAAGGTTTCAAACTCGCAGGGACTTGAGGAGTTGCAATTGTTTGGCTTTGCACTCGGATGCTTCCAAAGGGAGACTACTTTTGCGTGTGCAAGGTTGTGGCCCACAGCTGCGGCAAGTTCATGCTTTGGTGGGGTGCCAAAAGCTTGAAGATTTTGACTCCCACGGCATTGCCAAATGTGTCTTGCTGATGTTGGCGGATTTGTGCTCACCATTCAAGCACAGCGAATCCTTTGAAATGAGCCAGTCGCTGAATGAAGATGTCACCTCCATGGACAAAGCTTTGTTGGCCCATCTCTTTGAGATCACAGAGGTCTTCAACGCAGACGCAGCTGCAGATGAGCAATTGGCTGGCCAGATCCTTGAATCTGGTAATAATAGATTCCTGGAGGCTTGCCCCGGAACTTGTCCTGCCTTGCTTGAAGCTATGGATGTGAACATGGCTACATTCTCACAAGTGTTCCCAAACTTGAAGGTCATCAACAAAGACAAGCCCCATGCCGCCCGTAGGATTGTCAGCCGGACATGGAAATGCGACCGTGTCCTCGACCAAATTGTGAAGAAAGTGTTCATGGACACCGATGGCATTGTGCAACAGATTCATTTCTCCGATGTGTTGCGGTCCATGTATGCCCAGAACGTTCGAGCCATGCAGTTCACCCCCTTGTGGAATGAGATTTCGGACAAATTTTCTGCAGCGAAGCACCGATTCGATTCGTGGAGCATGCCCTTTGCTAAAGTTTGCCTCACGCTAGATGCTGTGATCCGAACAGCCCAGTCTGCCCATGAAGAGAGGAAAAATGAAAAGGTTGGCCACGCAGCTCGGACATTCTTAGACCTTCTGTCTGAGGAAACAGTTTTGCTCATTGGGATGCTTGCTGATGCTGGAGAGGAAAATCTGCAGTTGACCAGGCGCTTGGATTCTGAGAGAACCACGTCAGGAAGCCTTGCCATTGCAGTGCAGAGTTGTCATGAAGTTGGAGGTGCTGTTTCTGAAAGGAGCAGTCGTGAAGACTGGCTACACAGCCCACCTTTTGGACCAATTGCAGAAGCCACGGACGATATACATTGACAAAGTGGCCAAACGGCTCGGTGGCTTGCCCCAGCCGCAGATGGCGACGGTCGTTTACCGATGCTTGAAACGCTTTGCTTCCTGGGTGCAGCTAGCGCAGGAAGTGGTCGCAACGGAGTTTCCAGCGTTTGAGATTTTGCAGTCTATGTCCATTTTCCATTTGGAATCGTTGAATGACAAAGTGCACAGAAGAGACGACCACAGGACTGAAGCACGAGATGTTAGCGATAAGATCCACAAAGTGTCAAACGTTTTGTCCTTGGATGAGTGCGCGTTGTCAAGCCACTTTGCAGACTACCACCCTGTAGCTCAGCACAAGTTTGAATCCGCTGCAGACATGGAACCAGTGATGGCCTGGAAAGCAGCTTTGGATACAGTTCTGGAGGACAAGCGAAATCTCCAGCACCACCCCCAAGAGGAACTCAGGCAGGCTCTGAGTAGAGCTATTGGCTGGGGCTGCTCCAGTTCGGGTGTGGAGCAAAACTTTGCAGGTGTCCGAACATTGACAAAAAGCAAAGGAAACATGACCGAAGTGAACCTGAGGGATGAAATTTTCCTCTTGACCACACAAAATTGGACCGAAACTCAAGACCAGGAGTTGGCAAAGGCTGCTGCGGTGATTTGATCTCAACTTTTTGGGACAGTGAAAGCCGCAAGTTCCAAAGACTCAGTCTTAAGATCTGTAGCAGCGCAGCGTGGGTGGAAGAAAAGGGCCAGAGAAGGCACATGGCAAGCGCCTTGTCTCAAAACTAGTTTCATGTGCTCAACACTCAAAATTTAGATCATTTTGAACAAAGATTTTGCTTACTAAGGCTTTTCGGAGGCAACGTGCTGCTGCAGTGGCGCAGGAAGTGAAAAAATGCGGAGATGACCCGACACCAGGATTTTTGGTCCACGAAAACGAGCATTGGACACAAGAACATGAGAAAGAAACGCAGTTACAAAAAAAAAGACGTAAAGAACGTGTTTTGGAAGCAGCTGCTCACAATGGGCTTACAACGGAAGAAAAACTCAATGAATAGGTCCAGACCATGAGCAAGCCGTGGAGGACTTCAAAGCTGCGAGAAGTCAGAAAGTGAGAAGCTACTTGGCCAAAAAATCCGAGACACAAAGAAAAAAGAGAAAGCTGCGGCATCAATTTTTTCTTTGTGCAGTGGCAAGAAAGTTTTTATTTCAACAATCCAAGCCGCTCCAAGCCTTGTGCTGGACCAGCACATGGACAAGTTGGGTGCAAAATACGAATCTTCCCTTCTGCGTGCGGACGCGTTTGTTGTTCCAGATGTCACAGATCCTGCTGAAGAAACTTTGTAGCACGCATTCCTTTCCGGAGGTTTGCTCCTCAGCCCTCAAGCGTTTAGTCATGGCGAGGGACCAGCTGTGAAGTATTGCTGTGCGGTCAGCATCCGCAGGACTGTTTACATCAGCAGCGGTTTTCAAGAAGAAAACCCTCACTTGCGTGCAGCTATCACTGGCCGCATGCTTCAATGCTTGCAGAAAGCGCAACTTCGCCACAGACCGTCTGCCGAGCTTGTCGCTTTTGTCACCCAGAAAGAAAGCAAACAAATTCTGTCAGTCCTTGGTGATACCGGCCAGCCCACAACTGGTCCATGCTGCAAGTTCTTGACCAGAACAAACGCAGCTGATTTTTTATGTAAAGTTGAATTTGCTAAGCATGGTTTATGTGGTCGCTGATTCGAGCATTTATAACAGTAATCAATTCATAACACTGCAATTTCGTAAGTTTTCTGTCAAGTCACCACATAATTTCTTCATTAATTTGGTGCGTACGTGGCTTGCCCCTCCTAATCATTAATTTGTTTGCATGACGCTGCCCCCCAGTAGCGCTATAGGTCATGGGCCTTGTGGCTTGCCCCGGTTTGATATTTTTGCATTTACATTAAAAATCAATAGTTTTTTTTGGACATTCTCTTTCAGCTTCTCTCCACAATCCCGCTTGTAATTAGCTGTTTCAATGAAATTTCGATCCGCGGAAAGACAAATTGCAGCCGCGGACTGTCTGAAACGCCATAGTAAGTGCAAGTAACTAGCCACCAGCCACTGTCTGAGTCACTGGTGCATATACGAGAGTTGCTAAGATTTGGGTTACAAGTTGGGCCTTCAGACCTGGAACTGGCTACGCGGTGAGGCTCAAACCGGACCTCAGGTTTGACTGCAGGGTGTAGTAACAATGACACACAGACAGGAAGATGAAACCGACAGCAGCAGCAACTACAAGTTTCCAGCAACAATTTCTTTACCTGTACTTAAATGAAAATAAGCAGTCACAGATCATCACTTCTTCAACTTCAACTTAGCCGCTTAGCTGCTCCGACCATGGAGAAACCAGGTGCTGGCAAGGGAAGCCAGGGTCGCCGTCCCAAGGGCGATGCAGCGAAGCATAAGGGTAAGGGATCTGGTGGCTTGCCCCATCCCAGAAGTGAGCCTTCTGGATTGGGCGGCACAGTCCAAATGCCACGTAGTCACGATGTCACTTCCTTGCCTGGTCCTGGTCCAAATTTCATCAGCCGGGTTTCTCACAATGTGTTGGCAGTCATTGCTGATATGATAAGAAACGCCGTCACGGGCAACCCACAACCTGTCAGGAAGCGGCTGCTCCTTTGCACACCAGGACCAGCAAGACATGCAAGATCCCATGGTTCAGCTGCCGGGGGATTTCCAAAAGCAGGGGGCAAGCCACCAACAAACTTGAGACTGCAGACTGCAGAGTCGCAAAGGGCTCAATGATCAGATGGGGGCTGGCCAGCTGCCAGTAAGTGAAGTTAAACTGCTTTGTCGGCTTTGAATCACATGATTGTCAGCTGCCACTCAATGAAGTTGAACTGCTTCCACTTTGAATCGCACCATTTTTTGCATTTCGAATTATCAAGTATGAAATATTACAATTTGATTAATTTAATCTCTAATATGCACACATCTTCTCAATATATACATATATAAATATTTTTTAAGATGCAGTTTCTGAGGTACTACAAACATGGAAGAATGATCTGCATTTTTTCAAGACAAACCCCTATTTATTAGATACACTTTGGATAAGAAACCTGTTTTTTCTGTGTAAGGAATTGCTTGTAGGTAATTTTCGAAGCAGCAAGGAAGCAAATCGCACAAAAACTTTAAAAACAGCCTCTCTCCACAATCCAGATTAAACCTCGGGTTTCCCCACCTTTGGCTCGGAGCTTATAGCTTCCGCCATCCTTTTTCATCATTGTTGGCCTCAGACAAGGGATTCGATCTTCGATGCGCTCTCGAGCATAAATAACCTTTGATGTCTGTGTTGAAGAAGTCTTCGCATCTTTGCTGATGTGTTCCGTAGCGCATACCACCATTGACCTTGAACATGGTGAGATACCAGAAGAAATTACCCAAAAAATCTGTAATCACACCAAGATCTGCTGCGTGAAGCCAGTCGATTTTGATTGTGTCCACGGTCACGTGCGGGATGTCGAAGAATGTCGAGGTCCATTTCGCATGGTCTGCTTGGCGCTGGAGAAAGTCTGCATGGCTTAACCTGTCACGGCGCCACGCAGCATGGTGACCGACTTCTTGCAGGGAAGTGCGGGTGGTGCCGCATTTCCAGCAACAGGGTCCCGTCTCCTGCCACCCCGGAAGGCCCAGCGCATGCTTAAACATGCTCCAATCACCTCTGAGTTCGACAAGGCGTCCTCGAACACCAATGACTTTGCCTGTGCGACTCTTGCGCCAGCTGTCGGAGTAGCCAAGGCGGAGCCATCGTGTCGAGTCACTGGCATTTCATTGCGATCCAAACATTCGAAGGACCATTTTAGTATTGCTATATAATCTTCACACGTTGTTCTCTTCAGTTGCAAGTCGCGTGGCCAGGCAGTTAGTGGGATCCGTAAGCCTTCGCACGCCAGAAGGGATAAGCTCCAGCACTCGAGCGAATGCTCTCTGTTGGCGTTGAATGGCACTCCATCTTGCCATAGACCTAACCAGAGAGTATTTTCCACATGGTGTGATGTCAAGTCTGGACGTGTGGCTAGCAACGCTTCTTGCGTTTGTAGCACTGTGCTGAGGTCGTTCTGCTGGCAAAGAACGTAGACAAACTCATGAGGCAAAAGCATGGAGCAACGACATTGGACTTCCTCTTCCTTTGCCACGGTGCGTCCTCGGACAGTGGCTTCGTAAAGTTTCGGCCATTTCTTATATCTATGAGCCATTCTTGTGATATCCCTGGCCTTGTTGGTCGACTCCTCTCTGCTTCGGTGTGCCAGCTCCTCCATGCCGACAACACCAGCTTCATGCGCCGCTTGTGCGAGGCGGGACGCACGGGATGAGCTTGCCGCGTTGGATAGGAAGAGGTCCACAAACTCACTGCGCAATCTCTTGTCTGGAGAAGTGCGATACTCAGGTGCGACGCGTTTGTGACACATCGCGAAGACTCCTCCGTGGTGTCGAAGGAAGGATCCAGGCGGAAGTCACGCCGTCCACCGTATCCGACGATACGGCAGGCAGGCCTTGCCGCGCGCTCTCCCCCCTGCACGGAAGGCAAGCCGTTCCACCAAGCGCAAAACCCTTGTCCTGTCGAGCCTGCACGCCTAGGGCCCAAACACACATATGCAAGCAGTGGAATATGAAAGCAAACATGGCGTTGGTCTCGTTGCTGCTCTACCGGTTCGGACACGCTGCCTTTTTTCGATGCCTCGCCGTGGTCTGCTCCCTCAAAATTGACAGTTCACTACGCCTCATACGCAAAATTCCAGGACTATATCTCTGGATATGAGACGCGGGCATGCCTCACTAAACCCAGCACTTGCGGCTCAGTTCAATCTGGGCAGCACACTCAGCTTTCGCGTCCTCAACCTTTTGCTTCAGCTCCTCGCGCTCCCGGATTGAGTTGGTGCAGTCATCCGTGCGTTTGTGCTTCGTGGTGGAGTCCATGATGTGCATTCGAAGCTCTTGTAACGCATCCTGCAGCTTCTTCTTTGCCGTTTGCAATTCCGCTTGCCGGACAGCCAGGTCTTCGTGCTTTGATGCCTGCATGCGCTTCTCCGTCACAAAGACTTGGTCTTCTAGGGTTTGCATATGGGTCTTCAATTTTTTCAAGTGTCCTGTCATGGAAGACCATGCCTTGAAGCTGTCGGAACTGCCTTCAACCGAACTGTCTTTGGCATCATCCAAGCTCTTCATGATCTTCTGTCCTTTGGTTTCCGCATACGCCTCCAGCCGATCTTCCTTTTCAAACTGCTCGCCTTCCTTTGTGCCAACGTTGAACTTGTAGAAGTAGCGACATAACCTCGGATTGCGGTGAGGCACCTTGTTACGTTTGTGCTCGTGCAGGGACTCACTTTCCTGCAGAAGGTCCTCCAGCAGCTCTGCGGCTTCTGCTTCCGCCAATTGCTGCCCATCAAAGCCGTTCAGTTGCAAGATCTTCGCTCGTGTCATCATCCCTGACAAAACTTCCGAAGATTCTGTCTCCTTGCGAGTGCTTGCTTCACTGCGAGAATGGGTCCATGTCAAGTCTTGGAATCCTCTGTTGGTCAACGACTCAAGGATATTCCATTTGCGCTTGCGGTCACCATTCTTAATTATACCAAATGGTTTTTTTTATATGCAAATCATTTACAACTGGTTTGCAAAGAGTTTGCAATCCATTGAAATTAGAATGAAGTTGACATAGGTGGCGCAAGTTTATGTTAAGTCACATGTGGATGTAGCTCCAATGTGGCAGACATAGCACGGGCTTAGGGTGAAGGAATGTTTTTACTTAGGTTTGACTTAGGTTGAACATGGATTGGACTTAGCCGAGTTGTGTATTTTAATCTTTTGCAACGTCGACTTGCTGATGGTGTTGCTTCTTTGCAATCATTTAGGCTCAAAAGAGGTTTGTTGTTGGGCGATTGCTTCTGAGGGAAGCACTCATGACTGAGGGTCAAGCAGGTGGGGTTAAAAAATATAAAGCGCAGGATTACACGGCGTGTCTGGCATTTTTGCCGGAAGGAGTGTGGTCTCGTGTGATGAAGGCATCGACGGATCGTCAGCGTGCCGAAGAGTTGGCACATTTTTGTTATACGATGTTGGGTCTGAGGTATCCGAATGAGCCAACGTATGCAACATGGACCTCTCTTTTGGCCAGTTTTGATCCTGAGTGTTCCAGCTTTGATTTGCGCAGCAAATATGAGACAGTGAAAAATGTCTGGCAGAATGCAAAGACAAGATTGGCGCGGACGCATGTGACACCTGCACTGATGCTGCCTAAGTTGCCGTTGTCATTTGATGAATTGACGGCAGATATGCAGGCAGCATATGGGGAGGCCAGGCCACTTGCGCAGTGGCCCGTATCGACCCAAGAGGTGGAAAGGCAATTCTTGCGAGTTCCCATGCGGAGCTTGCATGCGAGCTTACAGGAAGAGAAGAAGGATGTGGTCCACAAGCTGGCGGATGCAATAATCAAGAGGATCGATTGGGGAGGGCGTCGTCGATCGGATGAAACCTCGAACATGTTGCCTGGTTTGAAATTTTTTTCCCCAGGTAAAAGGAATGGCAGCTCTGATGTGGCTGGGTCTGAGAAGCGCTGTCAGATGGCAGCGCTGAGCAATGGGCAGGGCGCGGGCAGTACGAGAGGAGAACCTGCGCGGTTCTTGAGTCTGACAGATGGGCCTAGGGCGCTGCGGGCGTCTGCTGAGGCTGAAGTAAGCGAACATGCGCCGGCGACAACGACGTCGGCGCCGGTATCGGCGAGCAAAGTTGCGATTCCAAATTTGCAGCTCGTGCCTGCCCAAGGTTCATCTCCCGATCTCTTGCGCAGAGGCCGCAATGGGACAGATGCAACGAAGAGAGCCCGCGTGGATGCTGGAATTATTGCTTCGCCTACGCGGCAGCAGAATTCTTCCGTGGATGGGGAGCCGGAGCAGGACGTAGCTGGCAATGCTTCGGTGCCTGCGCGGCATGCGACCAGCAAGACAGCTACAGGATCCTATGAGGCTTTGGCAGAAGAGTTTTTGGAGGCACGGAAGATGGAGCAGAAGCCCAAGACTGCTGCGAGCAGTTCTTGGAAGGCGAGCAAGAAGAAGCTGGCTGCGTCTGCCGTGCTGAAGCTGAAGCGACCTGCGGGGTGCCTCAAGAGACCAGCTGCTGCAAAAGGTCTAAAGGATGCTTCGGTGCCTGCGGAGGTGACTGCTTTCCAAAATACCACCTTCGACGCTCGGAAGTATGGCAAGTGCAAAGTTGAGTATTATTCTCAGAAGAGCTACATTCGGAACTTCCAAGAGAAGTGGGTCATGATTGTGGGAAGCACGCATCGAAAGCACAAGTATGTCTGCAATATGCTGGTGCCGCATGTGAAGAAAGGAGCATCCCGAGAGGAACTCCTTCGCATTCGTGAACGCATCCTTCAGCAACTTGCTGACCAGCATGGTGCGGCCATGCCGGGATCGTTGCTGCACTGCAGCACGCGTAGTATGGCCAGAGGCTACGCGCACATGCCGTCTCTTTCTTGGGAAACTTTGCTGCACATATCTGTATATACCTGGAGTGGAATCTCTGCTTTTGACATGAAAACAAAAGAACATGTGGGCCAGGACAGCAAGGGTTTGGCGGTACTGAGTCGTTATATTGATTTCGATTGTTTTGTCCGGTGTCTTTGTTCTATTTCTTTTTCTCTCTCATTCTCTCTCTCTCTCTTTTTCTCAGTTTGGTTCTTTGTCTTGCATCGAAAAGAAGATGGCAATTGAATCAGCCAAGTTGGATTGGATTTGAAAATGCAAATCTTTGTGTCTGAAAACAGTTTGATGCAGTTTGTCCGTTTGTTCTGCAGAGACATGGGCTCAAGTATATTTCTTGGGTTAGCGCGCCGTTTCTGTGCCTACAGTTGGAGGTGTGGTTGGGCAACCCAAAAAAATGATGCAATATATCGTTTGTCATTTGCACAGCGTCTTGTAGCCCTGCAGGTTTGGAAGCATGGGGCGCCGCTACGAGTTGCCGACGATCACCGAAGAGGAGGAGGTAAAGTCAAGCAGCTATGAGTCGGTGACAGAGGAAGAGGGCGCTCCAGAAGCCAACCCCACGCGGGAGGCTCCAGAAGGCCACCGCGTGCCGGAGGCTGCAGCGGGCGATAGTCGAGAGCCGCCGGTGACTCCAGCTCGTGCTCCGGCTTTGCGCAAGAGGGCTGCGGGCCCGGATGAGGACGAGGGGTCGTCGGACTCACATGGTCCGCGTCATCGTTCCCGCGGACGTTCGCCGTCCAGGGCAAGGGCAGGGCATCGAACGCCTTCGCCGCCTCCGCGTCCCAGGTCACCTGCGGGGTTGCCTGGAGCTTTTCCCAAGAGTCGTCCGAGGGTCCCTGAGCCGCCTCAGCCGGCGCACAAAGGTCGCGGGAAGGGGTTCAAACCGCAGAAGCCCAGGTGCCGCTTCTGCTGGAAGGAGGTGACTGCTCATGAAAGTGGACAGAGACAGCATGAGTATTGGTCCACGTATTGCCTGTCGTGGCAATTCAAGAGGGCAGGGTATCCTCACACCGAGTGTGACCAATTGGCAGAGGATCTGAAGCAACGCAGGCTGGAGCGCTTCGAACAACTGGGGCCGGATCCAGATGCCCACGTGGCATTCCCAGAGCAGCCGGGAGGCACTGCAGCACCAGCGCTGGCTACGCGCCCGGCGCTGCCGGCGTCGTCCTACAAGGACAGCCGTGTGCCGGCGTCTGCGGAAGAGAGAAAGGAGAAGAAAGAGAAGAAGAAGAAGCAGAAGGAGGCGCCCAAGGAGCCGCACAAGGACAGCCGCAAAGAGAAGAAAAGAGAGAAGTCGAGCAAGGCTGCTGCGCACGACGCGGCTCCGGAAAAGAAGGCAAAGAAAAAGAAGAATAAGGGAAACAAGATCCATGTGATCGCGGTGTCGCCTTCTCCTGAGACGATGCGTCGACGCAAGCGGGAGCCGCGCAGCTCCAGTGAGTCTGACAGCTCGGAGGAGAATTTGAGATTGGTCAGCTGTGGCGGCGGTAAGTACCGTCTCATTCGAGGATGAGGTCGTATGAGTAAGCCCACGGGGCATGGCAGCTGTGCAGTATTTGCAGCCTAGGTGGCAGGACACCGCCTAAGTGGCATGGCAACTGTGTCAAAGCTTTGCCTATGTGGCAGGGAATCTGCAATGTAGGACAGACTATAGGCGAGCACAGAAGTCCACGAAGGAGTTCATATGCACAGGGTAAATCAAATTAAGCAATAGTACATTTATTTATATATATATACATATATGTTTTAAAATATCTACATTCATAAACGGTCGAGTTCCAGGCGAATCCGGAAACACATATAAGCATGTGAACTCCTGGGATTGGACGCACAGAGGCTTATGGTAGGTGTCCAGTTTGCAGATACAATACTGCAACGTACCTTCGCCTCAGATACGAAAGCGGAGTGGAAAAAAAGTAGTGGTGTCCGGTAACATTGAGGGGGGCATGGGCATATATAAAACCTTCCTTGAGTTTCAAGACCACGAATTGTGCTCAAAAAATATTCATGAGTTCTTCATGGCTGCTGGATAATAAACGGCTACAGTTGAAAACAACTGACATTCCAAAACTGGCCTGAAGCGGATGTAGGCGAAATGTAGGCCAATGTAGGCCAAGGGGCACACTGTACATTCCTTGTTGATGTAGGCCAACATGTAGGCCTTCATGACGCAATTAAAACTTGATCAAACGTCGATATGTCGGCCAATGTAGGCCAATGTAGGCCAATGTAGGCCAAAGAGCAGAGGTACGACTGTTCCCGCAGCTTTTTTTGGTAGCTCTCAAAGGGGTTACGGGTGTTGCGTTTTGCTTTCCTAAATGGCTGCTGCTGGGATTGACGGACATGGGACGCTAAGTGCGTCTCTTGCCGGCTCAGAAGCGCCTGCCCAAGCGGCAGCGGAGGCACCGAGCGTGCCAGAGGGACTGTGTTGCAAGCTCTGCGCTCGCACCCTACCAGCGTCTTCGCCGGGAAGAATGCGAAATAAGACGTGGACTTGCCGCCATTGTTTGTCACTCGAGTTGCTGCTCTATCGACATCTGGGGTCGTCGGAAAAGCAGGGCTGGTCAGTCGACTCTCGCACCGACTTCTATCGACGTGCCACGGCCGTAGAAGTGGCCGGTTGCAGGTGGTCCACAGTGAAAACAATGATTGTGGAGTCTCAAGCCACGCGCTTAGTGAAGGAGCAGGAGAACCGTGTGACCGCGAAGTCTCTTCCCCTCTCGGTCTGGATCAAGAAAGGTTATGATGAAGAAGCGGTGAGGAAGTATCCAGCGGAGGAGGATGAAAATTTGGGCACTCTGTACGCAGTACCTGTGAAGTCGGTAACAATGAAGGAAGCACGGCAGCTCATCGAAGAAGAATTGCAGAGGAAGGAGAAGGAAGTGCTGCAGAAGAATGCGAAGAAAGTCAAACGTCAAGACGATGACGTCGATGGACACGAAGAGGAGGAGTGGGATGTGGTTCCACACAGACCCGCTGCGAGCGGAGGGCAGCCGAAAGGTAAGAAGGCCAAGACTGATGGCAACACGGCTGCAGCCACTGAGAAAGCCTCGAAGAGTGCGGCTAGAGCGGCTGTGCAAGCCAATAAGGCACATGAGCAGCTGACCATGCTGGCTTCCAAGGCTACGGGCCTCCTGAGCAGGGTGCTAAAGGCGACGCAGACTTTGCTGCAGCAAGCTGAGAAGGCGAAGCTGGAAGGCAAGCAGGAGGTGGTAGACTTGAAAAATTCCTGGGAGCGTGGCACGGCTTGGAACAAGGCTTGCGTGTCCGCCTTGCCATTGGCAACTGCCGCGCAGGGCACCGGCGCCCGCTTGGATGCGTTGCCTTTTACCAACAAAGACTTGCAGGACTGCGCTAAGGCAACAGCTGTTTTGCAGAAACAGATCCGTGAAGATCTGAAGAGCTTGAAGCCGGCCAAGGCTGCTGCGAGCAAGCAGGAGGAAGCAAAGTGACGCTACGAGCGCACCAAACGCACTGTGTTGTAGCATGTGAGCCGGGGAAGCATGTTGCCAGGTAGACATAGGTGCCAATCCAGTTCTAGACTCTGAGTTCGAAGATTAAACGCGCAGTGTCTCGCTGTGCAACGGGCGAAAACTAGTGTGATCCTTGTTTACCCGTGAGTCACCGGTCTTGTGACCCGTTCCTTGTTTCTGCCGCAGCTTTCTAATCCAAACCTGTATGTTTCTATGCTGTCACTGTGGCTCAAAAGGTATATGTGCAATGAAGGAAGCACAGAATCACGTATCAACATGTAGACTATATAGAGACACAGAGACCTGTTTCGTATGACTTTCATCGATTCGTACTTGTCTTTGTGTATCAAGTAGCCATCCAAATAACTCCATACATTGTGGCCGGGAACAATACTATAGCAAGAAAAAAAAACATGCGGCATTCCAAAGCATATGCGCACAGCCACATGTCGTGTCCTGCCGTCGGTCGAAAAAGAAAATTGTCAGAAAACGAAGTGGCAAACCTCCATGAATGTCTCGCGGTGCCATGTGCATCCGAGAACGCTGTGCTGAAAATTTGGAATATTGCCAATCAATTGAGAAGTGACAGACCCGATGCCTGTAAGTCGACGTTGAATGCTGCCGCTCGCGAACGTCTACGCGACGCGCGGGCCTGCTATGAAGCGTGGCGGGTGCCAGACACTGACGAAACAATCTGGATGCCGCGTGCACCGGAAATGCTGCAATTTATTGTCGACGAGTCGCCTGCGTGGCGTGCTGCCGTGTCAGATGCGTTGGACGTCAACGACGGGGTTTTATGTCCAATCATCTATCTTGATGACATCACGTGCGGACACATTTTGGCAGTCATTAAAAAGAAAAAGGTGACTGCGGTGTATCTCACTGTACGTGAAATGTTCCCTCATGTGAGCCTAGAAGCTGCGTGGCTTCCCTTGCTGGTAATGCAACGGGTCCAACAGGAGGAAGTGCCTGGAGGTTTGTCTGCAGTGATGGCAGAATTGGTGCGTCGTCTCAGGCGGGCTGGAAGAGGCTTTGCGTTGGAAATAGATGGACGAGTTAGGCACTGTAGCTTCACGGTGCCATTTCTCTTTGTGAGTGACATGGATGCTCAAAGAGCAACTTGGTCGATCAAAGGCTCCGCAGGTTTGAAACCATGCATGTTCTGCGCCAACGTCATAGCAAAGTACGCCCTGCGCGGGCAGCATGAGTCGTTTGAAACGATCGCTTCTGCAGCTTGTGACAAGTTCAAGGCAATTTCGGATGCTGACTTTGAAGCAGCGGTTCGTCATATCGCAGCACAGCCAACAAAAGCTTCCAGGGAACAATGGGAAAGAGCATATGGCTTGACATGGGATCCCCATAGCCTTTTGGCAGACGCAGATGCATTGTCGTGCTTGCCCCCCAGCGGCGCATGCAACGACGTCTTGCATGCGTACTTCTCCAACGGTGTGGCGTCTGTAGAACTGTGGCAGCTTGTCAATACACTGGGTCCGCAAGGAATTTCTCTGGGCAACCTGCGTGGTTTTGCATTGCAGAAACAATGGCTGCGATATGGGAAGAATGCGTCGCCGTCGCAGACGTGCATCAAACATATCTTGTCAGACAAGATGTTTGATAATGAACGATCCTTCAAAGGAGATGGCACGGCGACGGAACCTCTCGTCTTCCTCCTTTGGTATGTACTGTGTGAGCACGTGGGGCCAACTCCTGCTCTGAGATCTGCAAGGAGAAGTTTTGAGAGTCTCCATGCGTGCGTGCGTGAGCTGCGCTTCCTCCGCAAATATCCCGGAGCTCTCAGCTCAGAAGAACAAGTAGCACGCCTACGTGGCCTCCAAAGTTTGCATCAACACGACTTCAACGAAGCCTACGGGGCAGAGAACAGTATCCCAAAGCATCATCACCGATTTCATATTCCTGACGGAGCTTTGAAACTTGGATTCCTTCCGCACTGTGAAACACATGAATCCAAACATCGCTGCCTCAAGAGTGGTGGAATCGTAGATAACCAAAAAGGCAAACTTAACGAGCACGCCCACTTCCAGTATGAGGTGGTCACACGGATGTTGAAAATCACCCGCTCTGAATCCATTGAATTTGGCTTGACACGTTGGGAATTATTAACACCGACGAAGCCGGCGTGCCAAGCCATGCGGGCAGAGTTCCAAGATGAGGCGCTTCTGTGCGGCAAACGTATGCAATTAAGGCGACATATCTTGAAAGAAAACCAGCCCATCATTATTGAAAACACAGCCTATATAGTCGAAAAGTGCCTGAGTGGCACACGCGCAGGTCTTTGGCTGCAGTTGAAACCGTTGGTTCACAAACAAACTTTTCCATGGGGAACTCAATGGACGGATGAAAACATCCCGCCCCAATGCTGCAAACCCAAGGCCAAACATGCGCTGATGACACCTGTGTGGTGGCAATTTGAAGCACCCACATACACGTTCCTGGGATGAACGGAAAGATTTCCCCGAGAGGGAAAAATTCAAATTTGCAAGCACAAATTAGCACAAAAGAAACCTGCAACACCTGACCAAACGCATTCTGGGAGAAAAAAGGCTGCCGCTGCTGACGTCAGTTTTTTCAAAAAGACAATGACATAGCTTCGACTTAGCTCGGACTTGGTAAGTCCAATCTAAATCAAAAAAAATGGTCGTATCTAAGTCAGGCAAGTTCAACACAACTAACATAAATCAACCCTATATAAAAAAAAAACATGTGGGCATCTAAAAGCTTCTGTGCTGCTTCCTTGTGGCTGGGGGTGGATTTCTTGGAGACAATCTGATACTTCAGAGCTGTTAACAATCTGGGTGCCTCGAAAGCGCCTAAGTTTTCCTCCTTCGCGCTTCCAGTTGTTGCCGATGGGCATGCCTCATCAGTGTTCACCTCGGGAGGCGTGCCGTCAGCGGTTTTCGTCTTGTCTCGGCGAACAGAGGCCGCCTTCTCCTTGGCTCGCGGTTTGCCTGCCTTTGCCTTTGCGGCGTTGCGTTTCTCTGTCCGAGGTGCCATGTCTTGATCGGGATGTGCCTCGACCTATGCCACGGGACACGCCGCGTTCACGTTGCGAGGAGCTACCACAATAAATGGCTGCGGAATACACAGTGGGCAACTCTGCCTTTCTGCAGACTATAGGGTGTCACCCCTTTCGATGCAAGCTGCACGCTCCCTTTTTGTTGTCCAAGCTTCACGTGTTGTCAGCAGCAAACTGCCGAAAGGACCAAGACGGGTCAGTGCCACGTCGATTCCCATTGGCACCTTGGGTGCTCTTGCAAGACGGGTCACAGCCACGTCGATTCCGTTGGCAGTTGAGGCCAACCTATACGAGGATCCATCCCTCGTCGGCCACTTGGTCGGTGTCGGCAATGGCCAGCAGATTTGGGTCTGGTCGCTGGGGAGTGTCACACAGCTGTGGCATCGGTGGGACCGTCCAGCCCATCAACATCACGCGTCTCGTGACGCCATCAGCTTGACACTCCCATTGGTGGATTTTATTCACGATTCGGTGGAAACTCAAATCTCTTTTCTTAGCGCCCTCGCAGCAAGCCCATGCGACAAGGTCGAAGCCGC